GCCACACAGAATTGGACAGGACATGGCTCAAAATAGGGGGACCCCCAAAACGGGTGGTGTCCTTTTGGTGACCCTTTGAAACCATCCACAAAGGGTTCACTCAAAAGATACGCCCATCTGCGAGAGAAAAAAAGAAGGTTTGTCCGGGGAAACACACGTTGACCTTTTGCAATTTAGGACTGAGGCGCAAGTCTGTCTGTCAGATCTCTCAAGGTCAAGGCTTCTTGAAATCAGGGATCCCATCTCGTCTTGAGAAACCCTGCCTTGGGAGTTTGTGCCGTGTATCTTCCGCGTTTGTTTCTTTGAGACGGCTGAGGACCTAAATTTGCATCCGGAGGAAGGCGTCAGCGACCGCCTCAGCCGATTCGCACATTGACGCGAGAGAATCAGAGGCTGCGCACGCTGCCAGGCCCCTGTGAAGCAGCAGCTTGCGCATAGCTCCTCGCGTGAAAGCGGTCTGGGGGACTTCGCCGCGGAAGAGAAAGATCTTGGAATGCTAAAAATGGGGTCAGCTGCCCTGAGATTGGTGGTTTGGAGCCCCATGGTTTGGTGTGATTTCCCATTTACTTTTTAGGCCCTCTACAACTACGGGGTTCAAATCCCCAAACCTTCAATCCAGACCACCAACTAAGGGTTACCTGAAATGGTGCAAGCGGAGTTGGCTTCACCGAAACTGCAATGCTTTGAACCTGCATGTTCGCTTTTCCACAAACGTGGTGAGGGTGTGCGGCGGCTGTCTGCGCCTGTTGGCTCAGAATCCTTGGCCCCTTTCTTGGAGCTGTGTATCCGCGATGGGATGCTGCTCGCGCTCAACTCAGCCTTTGGTGTTCACGAGACACACACAGAGACAGACACACAGACACACCGAGACACAGACACACAGACACACAAACACACAGACACACAAACGCACAGACACACAGACAGAGACACACAGACACACAGAGACACACACACACACAGAGACACACACAGACAGACACACAGACACACCGAGACACAGACAGACAGACACACAGACACACAGACACACAGACACACAGACACACAGACACACAGACACACAGACACACAGACACACAGACACACAGACACACAGACACACAGACACAAAGACACAAAGACACACAGACACACAGACACACACAGACACACAGACAAACAGACACACAGACACACAGACACACAGACACACAGACACACAGACACACAGACACAGACGCGCACGCGCCCACGCACCCACGCACGCGTGCACCCACGCACCCACGCACCCACACACCCACGCACTCACGCACCCACGCACCCACGCACCCACGCACCCACGCACCCACGCACCCACGCACCCACCCACCCACGCACCCACGCACCCACGCACGCACCCACGCACGCACACACCCACACACCCACACACCCACACACACACAGACACACAGACACACAGACACACAGACACACAGACACACACACACACAGACACACACACACACAGACACACACAGACAGACACACCGAGACACACCGAGACACACCGAGACACACACACAGAGACGCACAGACAGACACAGAGACACAGAACGCACAGAGAGACACAAAACAGAGACGGACACAGACACACTCGCACAAGAACACAGACAAACACACACAGACGCACACGGACACACGCAGACACACGCAGACACACGCAGACACACGCAGACACACGCAGACACACGCAGACACACGCAGACACACGCAGACACACGCAGACACACGCAGACACACGCAGACACACGCAGACACACGCAGACTGGCATACAGGCACGCACAGACACATACACACACACACATAAGACAGACAGACACACACACACAGACACCGCTGGCTATTTATCCATCAACATTTGTGTTGAAGATGTTAAAGCGCGAGTTGGATTTGTGCTCTTGAGGAAAACCAGTTGCTTGAAGTTTACCGTGTAAACCACAAATGAAAGGGCAGAGCAATCTTGCTGGAAATTAGCACGTACAATCTGCTGGGTTGAGCATGCCAAAGATAGCGATGCCCAGGTCTACAGCGAACACCAGTGATCCGTCCAAGTGGCTTGGCGTCTGCTTGGGGCATTTTGCAGCACCAGCTAGCTTTGAAAGGAGGTCGTGGCTTCCACTATGTGATGGGTCAATCAATTCCCCTGTTGACCTTCGAAAGTGGCAGTTTCCATGGAGCCCAGGTTGACTTTGCAACAGGGGGAATGCGGTGACTTCTGAGTGTTTCATTCGGCGACTGGCGTAGCAATCGGCGACTTTTTCTCAGATCCACAAGGCCGGTCATACACAACAAGCACATGAGCGACGAGGAGCGAGCTGAAAGACGCCAGGCAGGGCAGACGTGAGCTCTGAGCTATGGCACTGGCCAGTCTTTTCATTTGGGGCAAATAAAAATCAAGCACCACAGGTTGAATCGTCCTTGTTTCCAAAGGTTCCAAAAAGTGGGTACCAGCAGCCTCCAAGGGTGGTCCAATACCTGCAGTGCTCTTGAGCCATTTTGGGTAATGGACAATTTTTGGGTGCTGGTATACCTATTCTTGCCAACCACACCCAGGTTGAGGTTGACGGGAACTCCCTTCCTCGATTTCGTTAAATAAAACCAGGCGGCAGCCATCGCTGCAGAGAAGCGCGCGCAAGAGCTGCCCAGCCGGCGAGTTGGGGGTTTATGGTTTGCCCCTTCTGCTGAATGGTTTTACAGGAAACCGCAAGGAAACCACCTACCTGGAGTCCTGGAGAGGTCCCCATTTTGGAGAAACGGATAATTGTTTTACGGGTCTGTCGCTTTTTAAGCTGGTGGCTCGTCTTTCTTTTGGGAACCCCTTTGTGGCTCGTGTTTTCAAGGGAAACCAGCAGGAAAACCATCATCTTGGAAAGGTCCGATTCGTAACAAAAGCCACCCAAGGGAGCCCTGGATGAAGGATCTTGACTGGGGGTGTCCCAAGGTTAGTGGGAACCACCCCCTATTAATGGGATGCTTCTTTAACTCCGAAGTCAACTTGAGTGTAGAAGCATTTTTCAAGGGAGGCTATTCATTTCAGTAGAAAAGGCAAACCTTGGTTGCGCTTCTGCCACTTTGGGCAGTTCTATCCGCTTCCGATTTCAGTTCTTTTCTTGCTGAGTTGGCCTGTAGCTGGTGGAGGGTGGGGGCCGTACATGTTTTTGTTTTGCATTTCTCGATGAACATTTGAATGCTGGCCATATTTTTGCCCAGCGCGTTTGGCCAATGAGGTAGTGGTGGGTCTGTGTTTGAGGGTACCTGTTTTGGATTGATTGTTTGAAAGGGAAACCAACAGGAACCCTACCATGATGAGCAAGGTTTGAAAGAACTCATTGAGGAAGGAGCTGGGGCCACGATCGAAACCTGGATAGAAGCTTCGTGGACAGACATGTCCGCAAAAGCCGCCCTTTTGATTCTTCACATTGTGTGGCTTGTCTTTTGGAGGGTTCCTTTTGGTTTACCTTCACCAACTCCAGGATCCCTTTTGCCTCTTCTGTTCTGGGTGCTGGCACTGGGCTGAAAGAACATTTGGGCTTCTCATTGGATGATTTTTCGGGGTCCAATGACAAACCGGCTTCTTCGGTGGCTCGTCTTTTTTGGGCGGACCCCCCAAGAAATGGGTGGCTGTTCCTGTTGGGTTTCCTTGAAAGCCAGGGCCTCGCGTGGAGGTGTCAGCGGCAAGCCCAAGGTGGGCTGGGCCGATTGGGCTCCTCCCTGTGGCATTTTTGGGGTGCCCCCCCGGTCCTTTTGTCCAAAGGTGGATAGGTTCAAAGGGACACTACAGGAACAACCATTTTCACATCCTCTGCATGATGTGGATTGGTGGGTTTTGAACCCCCAGCTCCTGTTGAAACCGTGAGAAGCCCCCCCTAATCCTTGAAACCACCAGGAAGAACCAGTTGAAGTAAGGTGAGCCATTGGGCTTCTGTTTGTAAACTCTGCATTCGATGCAACCTTCGCTTGCAAGAGATGCGCGTTGGGACACTCCCGGCCACAAACCGGGTACGGACATGTCCATTTTTCTTGTCAGTCGTGCATTGGTTTCGGCTCTTAACAACCAAACCGGTATTCTTAATTATGTCAGTCATGCAGTTCTTGACATCCCATTGCCACCTCTTGAAACTCTTTGATTGTGGCTCAGCCTCGAGCATTGAGAGCGACCGCCTGCAAGGCAAGTGCTGCTGAAGTGAAGACCGAGCGCCCTGTATGCAACGGTGGAGCGGTGGGACCTAAGGTCTTGGGAGCACTGGTCGATTGACTTGAGCCACAATGAAAACCTGGGTAAGTGAAGGGTGAAGGATAGGCATGTCAATCAGAAATAGGTGCGGACACCTGTTTTGATTCTCTACATGGTATACCAGTTTATCCTAGGTTTTGATTAAAGCGTGGTTGCCCCCGCGTCCGCCAACGAATCCCATGGTAGGGACCTCACTCATTTCAGCAGCAACGTTGGGATTTCGTGAGGTTTCGTTGTCCGGCCACATTTCAGGTCAGGTATGCTGAGACCAGGCGACTTCAACTAGCGTGCCAAAAGCAATTCGGTGCAAGCTGTACAGATGGATAAAGTCTCACCCAAAAGGGAGTAGATTATAGTTAGGGCCATGTCCAACTCAGTTCGATTGATGTTCCACTCGAGCTCCAGCCAAGTCTCTCTGTGTTGCTTTGTTTTGTGGACATGGGCGCACAAAGAACGCTTTTTCAGGCTTCAGAAGCTTGCCTGATGCTTCAACGCAAAAACTGCCGATGCGTCTCACGGTCACTGTCCAATTTCCTGCTTGCGGATTTTACAACAGCCGGTACAGCTTCTTTGATCAAATGTATTTGAGCTAGAGGCGATTTGCTCTGCCCCGGCCAGCTCCGCCATCCTTTTGCCTGCCAGCTTGCACGGCTCAATGAGATACATGGGAGGAGCCTCAATTTCGGCCACTGGCTTCGCAAAGGATTGTTCTTGGCACAGTCTCAGGGTGTCATCAAACCCAAAGCACAGGCGAGTGCTCAGAAGGCGTGGCTCGGCTTTTTCTGGTGCAATGGCTCGCATGCCGCCAGAACCCTGGGTGTGACCTGCTGAAGATGGTCCGCATTTTGACAATCGCCCGTGCAAATGTCTCTGTTTTAAGGGCTTTAGGGGGCCCCCAAACTGGCGGGTGTTCCTTTTGGTTTTCCTTGAAAACCACAAAGCAAAAGTAGCAACTTCAAAAACAATCCGAGCCACCCAAATGACCAAAGGTGGACCTCCTAAAATGGAAAGGCGTTTCCAGCAATCCGAGGCCGAGTCCGTGCAAGAGCCTGGTGCCTTTGACACGAGAGGAAGCGAGACTGGACCCGCCAGAACCTGAAACGTCCGTGGCGGTTGGGACTGCGGAGAAGTGCACAGGACCCTTTTGGCAAGACCCCTTTGGAAGACTATCTTTCTCTACTCGCTTCCTAAGTTCTGTTTGGGACTTTAGTCACTTTTTGGGGTTGGCCCATTTTAGTGGTAAACAACAAGTTCATACTTTGTTTGGGCCATCCAGTCAGGAAGTGAGTCTACCAGTGGCCTGCACATTTCCATGTTGTTCCGGGGCTGTTGTCATAAAGCTGGATCCTATTGAAGGGCATTTTCCTTTAGACAGTTGGATTAGTTTCTTACCGAAGCTTTTGTGAGCAGCTCTTTTACCACAAGAGAAGCACACAATGTGCAGCGCGGCTTTTGGTTTGGGAAAGCCCGGTTCTCTTGATGTGCCTCTGTGTGCTGTGAACAAGTCATAACAAACTCCATGTTGCAGGCTGGTGACCTGATCTTCGGGCAGTTTGTTTTTTTTGGCAGTGCAAAGCTTTGGGCAATGTTGGAGAGCGAACAGCCAGCTATAGTCAGGTCCATTTTTTTTTTTTAGCCATGTGAGTAGAACCAAACGTACCTGTGAGTGTGGTTTCTACAAAAGGACTGTTTCTCCCAGTCTGAGGCTTTTGGGGTGCACCATCCGCAAGATCTTCGGGTCTCAGTGGTACTACGGCCAGGCCAGTCGGGAATGATTGGCGACCTCGTGTCCTTTTGTTTGGGGGGAGAAGCTTTTTTGGTTGCTTTCAAATGGAAACCAACAGGACACCGTTGCCATTGGTTTGGGGGTCCCATTCCTCAAAAATGAGCCACCCTCCATAGCTGATGAAAACGCCCTTGGACATGGAGAGCTTAAGGAAGTAATCTCCATAAAAGAAACAGGGCTCCTGGTCCCGATTTGATATTAGCTTCTTTTGCGTGTTGTACAAAAAAACATGGAGTTGCGGTGGAGTTGTTTGTGGGTTGCAGTCGGTTCTTGTTAGGCAATACAGTCACGGTGCTGTTGGAATCTTCCATGCCATTTAGGGTCCGTGCCGTTTGTTTTCTTTTGCTTGGTGAATCACCCTTGTGAGGAAGCATAGTCCATTCTTTTGCGCCCGCGCGTTTCGCCAGCCCTTGGTTTGATGGTCTGACACGATTCGGCCAGGTGATCGCCATCGATTCAGATGCTGTAGCCCTAGTTTCCTCAAGAGGACACATCATGGGCTTGAAATAGGTAAACCCTCAAAAGGGCCGTTTCCTCGCGGTTTCCCTTTTGAAAGACCCTGACAAGGGACCTCGAAAGAAGACACCCCAGATATCGAAGCAGCTCTTGACTCCGTGCAAGTGAGGTTTGTTGAACGCCTGCAAGTTGTCTATGCTCTGCTTCAGGTTTTCAGAGCTTTGCCGCAATCATGTTGGTGTTTTTTGTTTCCTATCCTTTCTTCGTCCGGGATAATCTTTATGGGTGTTCTTTTTGGAGGGTACCCCTTTTTGCGTTGGTTGTAAAGGGAACCTAGAAAGGAACGCCAATCGTTTTTCCTTCGCCAACTGTTTGGGTTGCGCCTGGGAACCCCAGGGGGGTGTCTTGTGCGGAAGAAGGCTGAACTTCGGAGCTCCGAAAAATCTGGCCATTGCCTTCCATTGGCTGAAGAGTAAATTTCCCCAACAACTGAAAGCTATGGATCTGGTCTGTGCCCAGAGGCTCGTTCCGGGTGGTTTGGGCAGCTTGCAGGGAGGATTCAAAAGGAGGGTTGCCGGGGTCCGAGCCTGTTGGGGATAGCACCTGGGCCGTTGTTGGGATTTTTGGCCGTTGGTTTTATATACTGTAAAGAGAATCTCTATCACTATTGGACGTATGTTTTTTGTTTTTTTTGCAGGGGGCTTAAGCAAATGGAGGGGGCCATTTTACACCAGACGTTTCCACCTGACCAAAAGCAAGCCAGGGAATCTCCATCTTTGTTTCTGGGAACTCGGGTTAACGTCCCGAGCTTTGTTTGGGGCCTGATGTTAGCATGAGAGGTCGCCAGCGGAGACCGAGCATACCACATCGCCTACGAGGAACTTCGGGGTCCGCAGGGGCCGAGATACGGCAAATTGAGTGAAGGAACCCAAAAAAACCAAAAAGGAGGTATTCGAAAAGAGATTAATGAGATTCCTGGGGATGAACAATATCCCTTCTCAATGGCTCCCTGAACGGCGAGTAGCAACATCAGGAACGCCCCCCCCCATTTTTGTTTGGGGGGTGGTGGGGGTGGGGGACAGTTTCTAAACACGAAGCACTTTGAGGGTGGAAAACCAGCCCAATAGTGTGCCGCTGACTTCCCTATTCCCAGAATTTGGAATTATTTGCCTTTCTGAAAGAAAGGGAGTTGTGTCTAGTGTCTCTTTTCACGGAAGTAGGTCATCCGAGTACAGGAAGTGATAAACCCTCTGACGCCAGGTAAACCTTAATTAAATTGGGTTTGAATTAGCGGTTCTTGTAGAGGTAAATGGCAAACCACCCAACCTCCAACCCACCAACCCAAGTTACCACACAAGGGTGAGCTGGTGCTCTTGCTTTAAACAACAAAACACAATTAAATTCCTACAACGCAAGGAAACAGTCGGCTTGCCCTGGTTTGAGGTGCAATATATTCACGCTGGTTTGAGGTACAATTCAACAAACCTACCAGAAAAACACCAAGCACAATTCAATTACAACCAACCAACCTCAACTAATTCCAATCAAACACCCACTAATTTAAGGCCAACCACATTTCGATTCCTACAAGGACAAAGCCAGCCAGCCAACCCGACCACAAGGAATTCCAATGGAGCACCAATCAGCCCCAAGGAGATACAAGAACAATTGTTTGGCGAAGCTGGAACCAACATATTGCAAAAGGCTCTTGGTTTCCGCTTTAAACATTTGTGCAATTCCAAACAGGTGGATGAATTGTTCGAATCCAACAACCCACTTCAATAACATTTCCGATAAGCTGGTGTATAATTACAGTAATACAAACCACAGCAATTCCCACATTCTGGTGGATTATTTGATCAAATATCCAACTACTACAACCTGGTGGATGAATTAGTAAACTTCACAATGCATTCTGGTTGTGTAATCAATTAACGCACTAGGTTGCAAGATTTGTTGGTGTTCTTTTATCGTTTGACTCAAGTACTCCACCAGGTTGTAGGAAGTGTTGTGTTTTTTTTCTCATCACATACTCCACCAGATGTCTGTGGGTCAAAAATAGGTAACCACGATGGAACCCTAGTAAATGGAATCAAGAACTGAAACCTGCGGTCCCCTGATGGTTCAAGTTTGACCCATGCCCAGTTTGCAGCTGTTTTTTGGTCAATCAATCCACCAGGTTTTAGGAATTGTTTGTTTTGCCAACTTATGCACCAGCTTGTTGGAACTGTTGGTTTGTTTATCAAGTAATCCACCAGGCTGCCAATCAAAATGTTGGTTAATCTATGCCACCAAGGTTATTGATTACACACCAAGAGCTCCTACAATCTTGTGGATGAATTGATTTAACAGAACGAATAATTCCTGCAACCTGGTAATTTAATTGATAAAACCAACAATTGATAAAATCTTACAACACTTCCTGCAACCTGGTGGAATAGTTGATGAACCATACCCAATAATTCCTGCAACCTGGTAAATTCTTTGGTAACAACACCAACTCCTACAATATTGTGGATTAATTGACAACAATACGACACGTCCTACAACCTGGTGGGTTATTAAACATAACCAACAATTCCTGCAACCTGGAAAATCAATTGATAAACACGACACTTTCGAGAATCTGGTGGATTAATTGAACAACAAAAAACACTACAACACTTCCTGCAATTTGGTAGGTAGACAACATAAAACCACTAACTTCTGCAACCTGGTAAACTCATTGATACAAATAACAATTTCCACAGTCATGTGGATTAAATAAGAAACACAACAGCAGCAACAGTATCAAATCCTACAACCTGGCACATTTATGGACTCAAAAGGACAAAACACTTACAACCTGGTAGATGAATTGATTAAACAAGCAAAGCAAATGGGTGGTTTTAGACCCCACCCATCCCCGGACCCCCCTCCTTCCGACTTCTCAGTTCCCCTGCCTGCGGCGAGGACGGGGACGAGGAGCACCTCAGCGGGCTGGAGGTCCGGCGCTTCCTGGCGCCGGCCTCGAGCCGACAGATGGAAGGCGTAGAGGATGGGTGCGTCAAAGGCTGGAGACAAAGGTCGTACCACGAGTCCCCTGAACAAGCCGACACCAAGGAAAAGGCGTAGAGGATGGTCAAAGGTCGTAGCTGAAAAAATACTCCTCAGCCCAAAAACCAGAGTACTCTACCACCAGTTCCCTGAACAAATAGTCAGGATGGGCGCGTCAAAGGCTGGAGTCAGAAGTCGTACAACCAGTCCCCTGAAAAACATACCCCGAAGCCTGAAAAACATACCCGTGCCACGAGTCTTTTGAAAAAAAAGGCAGGTCCTCAAGGATAGGCCCAACAATCAGAGTACTCTGCCACCAGTCCCCTGAAAAAATGGTAGTCCTCAAGGAGAAGCCCACAAATCAGAGCCCGGCGATGAAAATGGAAGCTGCCGAAGGGACCCCGAAATGCAAGACCTGGTAATTCGTTCACGGAGGGCAGCTTCCGGCTGTTAGTTTGTGCCGCTCCCCTGAAATAGTCCTCAAGGAGACAGCAAATGAGAGTGAACCAGGGCCAGCCTTACGCCCTGAGTAAGGCTTAGCTGTCATATTTCGTTTTTGAGGTTTGAACGGGTCAGCGGGGGAAGTCTTGGAGCTTCTTTTATATAGGGCCAGTCCTTTTTGCGGGTGACGGGGTTACAAACCCAAATGGGTACAGTAAAAACGGGTCCATGGAAAATCACACCCCAGTTGACCTGAGAAGATGGCGAGCCAACCCCACTTGGGTGTGTCTTTTTTAAGGTTGGCCCCTCATACTGGTGGGTTGGCTTTAACGCCACAAAAAAGGCACCCTCAAAAAAGACACGCCCATAGGGATTCCACAACCAGGGGACCGCATTGTGTTTTTTTTTGGGGGGGGCCGAGGTTGGGAAAGTTTGTGTCTAAATTAATGGGGCACGCCTTTTTATCGGATGTTGTCGATGTGCTTTTCCAAATAACTCCCGAGAAAGGGTTCCCTACAACGACGCCCCCATACGGGGCAGAAGAACTGCAGATATGTTTCTCGTTTGTGATGTGGCAAATTGTCAAATAGTGCCCCCAACCCCATTCTGATGATCTAGGACCTTCTATCAGACAGACATTCAGAGGATGCATGTGAGTGAGTCCATTTGGGCTGCAAAACTGGGGATTCACGTGGATCTCCCCCCCAAACACCACCGTGCAGACACAGCTCCTTCTGGGCTGTCCTAAATCTTTAGGGTTTGAATCTGCAGGGAAGCAAAGACGATGTTCTAAGCGAACCGGAAATGAGGTAACTTGTTTGAACGAAGATTACAAGGAGAGCCTGTTTGATTAAGCAGAACTCCTGGTTGATTTTGATTGGGGGCTGTGCCCACTTTCGCTTTAGGAGGAATCTGGAGCAGGCCATTCCTGGCCCCCAAATGACCATGGGTAACTTGTCCCAATTAGTGGAAAATATCACAAGCAAGGGACCTTTTGATCCTCCATATCCAGCCACGAATCAGGTTGAGGTTGCTGTCAAATTCTGCTGCCACAGATGTGCGAAGTGTCCCGGTCGCCTGGCTTCGTGGGCTGAGGTTGCCCGGTCTGCGCCCCACTCAGAAGCAGGCGCTGCTTGTCGTGCTTATGGCTGGGGACAGGCTGCCCTGAGCTAGACTTGAGTACGCGTCAAATCAGGGCGACCCCCACACTGGCTGTCCTTTCAGCCAAAAAGGGTACCTTCAAAGGTGCGCGCCCATTTGTAAACTGTGTCCTGTGCTTGGAGATGCTGAGTGATGTGCGGACATGAACTTGCAGGCGAATTGATCGGGCATACCGACTCAGGTGACCAAGATGGAGCACAGCATTGCCCGCAAACGCCAGGGCTGCAAATCCAGACGCAAACATTCAAGGGACAGAAATTTGATCGAAGGCTGCACGAACCACAAGCACGAGGCGACAGGCGCACACACACACAAGCACCCAATCACAGAAACAAAAACGCAGAAGCACACAATCACACAAACGCACGCACCCACACGCACACAATTGAATGCAAGTCTCTCCCAGGCCGCAGGCAAGTAACACAATCTCGCCTGAAACGTTCAGGTGTATGCAACATGAATCACAGCATGGAAGCAAGCCATGTCATGCTGCAGTGTGATTTTGGCGCCCTCCATGCTAGAGAAAGTGTGGCGGCTCAAGAGTTGGAAGTAAGTGAGAGAAGCCTGTGCCGCTGGCTATTGGGCGCAAAAAAACGGCACCCCTAGAGAAAGTCAGACAAAGAAGCAACACCGAGCCAAGTCTAGAGGCACACATCTTGGCTTGCGCCTCTGGCAAGCCCCGATCTGCCGGACCTCCTCGCCAGGCTCGCCTCGGGTCTCCGTGGCGCCTCGGGTCTCCTTGGCGCCTCGGGTCTCCGTGGGCTCGGCGCCGGGCGCCGCGGCCCCGCGAAGCGAGCGGCCAGTCGCCGGGAGCCCAAGGCGGAGGGAAAGAAAACAAGTTGGCGTTAAAAGCAACCCAACATTTATGGCTCAAAAATGAATTTGGGAGGGGATTTCGAATTCTTTCCACCTATCTGCGGAGGTGTCATTACTGCAGAGCGGGGGAAAGCACTGCCAGCTCAGGCATCACACTTGAAGCTTGGTCCGACCCAGGCCGTCCTCATCTCCACATGTGGCTTGCTGAGGCCTCTATTTCATCGGCCCCCAGGTTCCTGGGCTGCTTGCCCCATCCAGCTTGAAGCCATACTTTGCGCAACATCTTACACCCAACTGTTCGCTTCCACCACTGAGAGCCCGGTCATACTCAGCGGCTCAGATGAGCATGGCACCTAGACCTTTGCCCTGCCACCTTGAAATGGAACATGCTCAGCTTTTGCTCGTCCTTCTGATCCATGCAATGCACGTATCAGAAATCTCTTTGGTGGCAAGGTACACCAGCGAGAGCGTGAAGTGCGCAGACAGCACAGCCTTGATAGCATTGATCGGGCCGCGAGGAGGCTTTGGGGTGTCGGCTTTGCGGTGTCGATGACACCCACGCTGCAGCAGCAATGGCTGGCTCACGTCTGCAAGCCACTCCTTGACCAGCAGACGTCCGCATCCACGAAGTGCTTCTCGCAGGACCGAGCTCAGGCCTGCGGATCGGGTTGGGCGATCTTTCCGCCCGGATTCGACCTCGCAAATCGCCGGCCGCTCCGCAGCGTCGAGACTTAAGGCCTGGGGCGTGGATAACAGAACGCGGTCTCGCCGTTCCGATCAAGATGGTTCACGTCTGTGGCTTGCTGCACCAAAATAGGCGCAAGCCTTGGTGTGGCCCTGCCGCGCCACGTAATACAGCGCAGCCTGTTGATACTCGTCCACCCAGTGAAGTGTGGGGTTGTAGCATGAGGCCAAATGGGCAATGGGCGCAACCTTGACCGTTTTTATGGCCATGGCGGCTGACTTGTCCCTGATGATGAAACACAACTCATTCTTCAACTTCTTCTGTGGTGCCATGGCACCCCAACACAAGAAGAAACAGCGGCACACACACACACACCAGAATTGGTGTGCAGCCTGCGAACTACCTCGGCTGTCGACGAGCTGCCTCGTCAGTGCATGTGGGGCAACTTCCAAGTATAAGTGTCTCCCTCTCAAGGGCCCTATGTTTCTCGGCTTTGAGTCTGCGAACGGCGACTTTGAAGGCCGACACAATGGATGGGGGGCCCTGGATGCATTCGTGACAGCTCTAGCGGACCCGCGATAATGGGAGGAGCCCATCCGTAAAATCCACATGCTCAAACCAGTGAACAAAACACAGAAAGCAACAATTTGCGTGCCAGGGTCGGGAGACAATCTGGATAAAGGAGTTGCCGCACCTATTTGAGCTCATTTATTGGGTGATTCAATGTGCTTTTGCAGATGGGTTCCTTCCGCGAAAGACCCAGGATTGAGCCCGTTTATTAGAACCTGTTGAGGTACGAGATGTGGTTGGGACTCTTTCCAACCTTCAACCCAGGATTGATGCAACTTTCCCAGGGGGAAACGGAAATGAAGCCCACCAAGTTCGGTTGATAATCGCCCATCTAACTGGCGGGGGTCCCAATGTCATTTGTCCAGAAATATGTTTGTCCCTACCGCAAGATCTGTTCAAATAACTTTGAAAACACCAACATGTATGATGACGCGTGCTAAACAGGACCTTGACTTAGCTACTCTTTGAGGATGTCCCGTAGGGCTATTGTACTTTGTCATCGGTTGGCTCAGGCAAACTTGGGCGTCTACAGTGCGGCTGCGGTTGCGGTGGCCATACTTGGAGTGGCCTTTGTCCGAGGCTTAGCCACTAAACATTCCAGGAGATCGTGCAGGCCACTGTTTCCTTGCATCAGACAGAGATCGCTTTTCCGTTGGATCGCCCGTTGGAGTTTTGTTGGAGCCAGAAATAGCCAAAAGCTGTGAACAATTCGGTGATTCATGCGGCGAGCCAGGCGGTGCTTCCCCAGAGAGAAGCAGCGCTCGAAGTCGGAGACTCGGCTTCTTGCTATAGCAACTGACACGACGACTGCATGTCTGTTGAGTTTGGGGGATCGCCATGAATCACCCAAACTTCCCTCAAAATCACCCAAACTTCCCTCAAAATCACCCAAACTTCCCTCAAACTCACCCAAACTTCCCTCAACATGTCCCACAGAATCACCCAAACTTCCCACAAAAAAAAACAGGACCCCCCAGTTTTCCCCATGTCCCGGGGGAAGCCGGACCGACGCGCAGGTCAGAGAGCCTTTCGCAGGCCATGAGGTGCAAGCCTCGTGCGGGTGAGTTATGATTCAAAACCGGGGGGGGGGGTCGCGACCCTTGGCCTTGGGGTCTCTTAGCCCCAAAAAAGTTGATGTCCTTTTTGTTGCTTTCAGATTTGCCAACAGACGGGTTCTCAGAGCAGTCCCATGGTCGGTTCCTTGTGGTTTCCTTTTAGACTCAACTCGATTTGGAGAAGCTCCTGCACCCCGAAAAAGGGTTGGTTGCCTTTTGTCTTCCTTGTAAATACCAACCACAAGGGGGGTCACCATTTCGAGAAGCTTCCATTGCACATTGGATTATCAATTAGAGTCTTTGCCTATGGGCTTGGACTTAGGTGAGAGTACTCCCTCCAGACTTCGAGATTGTGACAGAGGCTGGAATCCAGGGCCTTGTTTTTTGGGTCAGGGCTGGACAAAACGTGTCTGGTTGTTTTAGGGAAACCTTATCTCTGACGCTTTGCGGGCGTGTACGCACAGCGGTCGCAGTGCGGTGCTCGCCATGTTCGTCGCTCAGGCCAGCGGTTTCGCGGTGTCGTTTGCCCTGCGAAAACTGCTGCCCGAAGTAAATTGATGCGCACGTGAAAGAGTCAAGTGCCGCATCGAAAGGCTTGGCCGAAGGATGGTGCCTTCGCACCTAACAAAATGCCAGCCTCTGAACGATCGAGGCCAGTGCGATTGAAATGCATGGCATCGAAAGCCCTGAAAACAGAACGGAGGGCAAGCCTAACGAATTGAACAGCCCGGGGCGGGCCAAGGGGGGCCGAGTAAAGAACATGTTCAGAGGCCGCATCTGCGCGGCGCTGCTCGCATCTGTCGGGAAAAGAAACCCAGGCTGGCAGCTGAACCACAGTGTGAGCTCAATAAAGCTCAATGCACAAAAAATATGCTGTCACATCTTGACCCTGACCAAGGAGATCAATCAGCAGTGCCGAGAATGCTGGATTGATATGTGCCTCTACTGTTGGAGCTAGTCAATGGGCAACCAATCGCCAATAGTAGCATTGCCAACCTGCAAACCCCAGTCTGTATCGTCAAGAGTAACTTGATGTGCGCTGGGTGGGTTGGCCTTGCTTGCTTGCTTGCTTGCTTGCTTGCTTGCTTGCTTGCTTGCTTGCTTGCTTGCTTGCTTGCTTGCTTGCAATCGGAACTCGGCAGCCTGTAGCAGAAATGCACGCATAGCTTCTAGCTCCGCCCGTTTAGAGTTATAAAAATATCTGTCGAGCTGAAGCAAGGAGCGAAGTGCTAGTGGCCGCTGGTGGTTGATGAGCCCTGCATTGTGGTCGACTATGGCGTTCCACATGCACCGCCATTCCTCAATAGGCGTTTCACAAAGGGAGAAATCCAGATGTGATGGCGTCCAAAAGAGTTGAATGTCTGACTGTATTTGCTGAACAAAATCCTGCAACTACTCCCACAGGTCATGGTTCGCGTTTGTACTCACAAAGGTGTGCGCTTGACCCGCCAAAATAGGCATTGCTTTAGTGAAACTTTAAAAAGGGGCTTTAGGGATGTTTTGGGGATTGTTTGAGGGTGTTTGGCATGTTCGGGGGAACCCACCCAAGGCATGTGAATGAGGGCATGGCTCGTCGTTTAGGGGAACCCAAAGGAAAACCGCCATTTTAGGGGGTGCCCTAACAAAAGACACACAGACATGGACCATGCACAAAGACTTGCATGGAGATGAAACATGTTGAAGGCATAGCTACCGCAAATCATACAACCAAGTAACTCTGGTCATGTCAATGCCTGTGCCAATGATTGATTTCACCAGATGTCTTCCTGCGTGCATGTCAAGGTTTACACGCAGGTATTTGTTAAGAAGTCAGGCTTTTTCGAAACTTGTTTGAAGATGTCTGGGCAAGTCAAAAGGGATTTTCTTACGTAAGGCCGCACTTTTGGGGTTTGCTGAACAGCAGCACAAAGCAAAATAAACATAGGACACAATTAACACAATTATCGATTGCGTTGGCCTGGCGATTCCAACGTCAAGGAGCTCCCAGTAATTCTCGGCATTGACCTTGTGGTGGACGCAACCGCCCGCAAACTAGGGCAAACTACAGCAAACGCCTTGAAACGGAAACGCCTTGCACATTGCCGCAAAACGCCCGCAAGAAAGGGGCAACCGCTGCCAGCACGCCGAAAATGCTTTGAGAACCAGAACGAGTTCCTCTGCATTACAAGTTTTAAGGACATGTCTTTCTCAAAATGGAGGACCCAATGTAAGTTCCCTTTCCTACTCCTACAGCCCCCAAACAAAGTCTGTTTCCAACTCCTTGCCTGTGTGTAGTTTGCTCAGGAGGAGCCGGCCGAGATAGCCCCAGCATCTCGTCCGCATCCGACTTCCAGCCTCGGACCCGAAAGGGTCCGAACATCTACCCAGTTGCAACCAGCGGATTCCGCTTTTGTTGTTAGTTCCTCTTTTTTTGTTTTGTGAAGGGTTCCCCTGAAAATAGTCAACCGACTAAAAACGGGCGCGTCTTTTGTCCCATGGCCGCTGGGCATTTGAGTTGCCCTAAGCCTGGTGATCATCGAAGTGGTAACAGCCAAGCGGGTTCCTTTCAGCACCCCCCCCCAACAAGTGCTTGTTGGACAGTTAGGATTTTGAACATGGTTGAAAGAGCAGTTGGGGGGTGCTGGTTGCAACTTACCTTTTCGTTTTTTGCCTTGGTTTCCTTCGTCGGTTTCTTTGGTTTTTGAAGAGATACCAGCGCTTTGTTTGTATTTTATTGGCAGGGATTGTGGTTTGCCCTAATATCACATGAGGCGGATTTACCGCCAAGATGGGTGTGTCTTTTTAGAGGAATCGGACATCCCTAAAATGGTGTTCCCTTTTGATTGTCCTTCAAAAACCAAAAGCATGGGGTACTCTACCCATGTGGGTTTTCCGTAATTATTCTCCCCAAGATGAAGTCTTGCAAAGGATGCCACAGTGCCGAGTCTCCAGTGATCCGTTCGGGTGACCGCTGACCGGATGAGGCCTGGAGAGAGCCGCAGAAAAGCCACGAGGCTCGCTCGCGTCAGTGAGCCACGACCAGAACCAAAGTGGGGTCCCCGGTTAAAAATACCAAGCAAAGGGATTTGGATTGGTGTTTCATTCGGGGCTGGCTTCTCCTCTACCCTCTACCAGAGCCAGGGTTCAAATCCCAAACTACCAATCCAAACCACCAATCCAAACCACAACGAAGGGTTATTGTAAACGCTTCGCGTTGCCCGCCTCGGCCCAGCCTAGTTTGAGGGAAGGGTCAGGAACACCGAAATCCAGTGTTGGGAAGGTCCGAATACCTGAAGCTGGCTCCAGACAAGTCAGACAAGCCGGCCTCGCCTGGTTGGGCTGGGCCACAGGCTAGTCTCAGACACATCAGATAAGCCTGCGCTGGGCCTGAAGCTAGTCTCGGGCAGCTTGGCTGGACCTTGCTTGCGTGGGTTGTTGGTTGAGCTGAAGCTAGTTTACGGCGGGCTGGGCAGCCGCACTGAGGGGGCTGGGCTATGGCTGGGCTGGGCCTGAGGCCAGTTTCAGACACGTCAGACAGGCCTGGCCAGCAGGCGGACTGGGCTGGGCTAGACGCTAGTTGAGCCCAGGCTGGTGAGGCCCAGTCTCGGCGCTAGATAGGCTGAGGCCTGCGAGTCTCAAACCGGGTGGGCTTGGGTGGGGTTGGCTTAGGCGGGTTGCTGGTTGGGCTGGGCCTGAAGCTAGTCTCAGCCACGAGGCTGCGAAGCCATGGGTGGTGCTGGGCAGCTGGATTATGGTGTTGGTTGCGCCTGGAACTTCGGCTGGCTGGGCTGAGCTGTGCTTGGGCGGGTCGCTGGATGGGCTGAGGCTGGGTAGCAAGTTGCTGGCTAGGCTGGGCCTGAGGCCAGTCGCAGACACGTAAGACACGCCAGCAGGCGGGCTGAGGGACTGGGCCTGAGGCTAGTCTCAGGCTGGCACACCTTGACACCAGTCTCAGACTGCGCCGAAGGGGCCCTGGGCTGCTGAGTAGCTGGCATAGCTTGAGACCAGTCTCAGACACGTGACTGCTCATTGGCCTGAGGCCAGTCTCAGACACGTTAGACAAACCTGACCTTGGCACACTGGGCTGAGCCTGCTGGTGGGCTGGAGTTGGCTGGCATTGAGATGCGCTGGGGCCTGGGCTGGGCAGGCTTTGGGCTGGGCCTGAAGCTAGTCTCAGCCACGAGGCTGCGAAGCCATGGGTGGCTGGCTGCCGGGCAGCCGGACCAGGCTGCTGGTTGTGCCTGGAACTTGGGCTGGGCGGGCTGGGCGCTGTGCTTGGGCGGGTTGCTGGATGGGCAAGGCCTGTTTCATACACACTTGGGCCTGAGGCTGGGTGGCGAGTTGGCTGGGCTGGGCCTGAGGCCAGTTGCAGACACGTAAGACACGCCAGCAGGCGGGCTGAGGGACTGGGCCTGAGGCTAGTCTCAGGCTGGCATACTTTGAGACGGGGCTGGGCCTGGAGGTCAAGGCCTGGCCAGCCTGGGCTGAGTTGCTTGGGCAGCCGGACTGAGGGGCTGGGGCACGTCAGACGGGCTTGGTGGCTGGCATAGCTTGAGACCAGTTTCAGACACGTGAGACTGGTCGTTGGCCTGAGGCCAGTCTCAGACAACCTTGGGGCCGCCCTAGACATGCGCCGGGGCCTGGGCTGGGCGCTGGGCTGGATGACTTGGGGTAGGCCTGTTTCAGACAAGCTTGGGCCTGAGGCTGGGTGGGCTGGGCTGACAGGCCTGGCCAGCAGGCGGGTTGCTGGTTGGGCTGGGCCTGAGCCTAGTCTCAGACACGTCAGGCAGGCCTGGCCACCAGGAGGTCATGCTTTTCAGGACAAAAAAGCAATTTTTTTAGTGATTTTCGCAATTGTCAGCACATTTTCGACAAAAATGGACCCATGGAGCTGGACGCCGACGAACCCCGAAAATTTCAAGGCCCGCCGGACAGGATTTTGGGCCAGCCGACCTGGGTGGGGGGGGGCCCAGCAAAATTTTGGGGGGGAAAAGCGAAGATTCTCTTTGGAGAAGAGATCTGAGCGCCCTTGGCCCCTTTGGGGCCGAGGCGAATTTGAGTCACCATACCCCTAATTGCTGGTTTGGTTTGGGTGTTTGGACGTTGGGCGCGTTCCCCCTTGGTTTTTAACACGAACTAGGGTTCAAATCCCAAAACCCCCACCAGGTAGCTGACAAGCAGTTGTTCTTTTTCAGAATTGCAGACCCCGCCAAATTATTGGTGTCCTGTTGCTTGAAAAAGGCAGCAACCCTTCCAAACCTAGAGACGGTTTTAGAATGCGCGTTTGTTCTCATAAGACCCTCCCTAAAAAGAACAGTGTGGCTAAAACCGCCAACTTTTGACGTTTCACAACAGCTGGGCGCTGCTTATCAGTTTGGCTATCATCATGAATGACTCCCAAACTGGCAACACACCCAAAACACGACTTTTTGGGCCAATCTAAGCCTGGACATCTAGGGCATGGAGGGTTTTGGACAAATCCTTCACTTGAAATCTGCGTCGTGTGAGGTTTGGTCAGAATTTGACTTAGTCTAAAGTCTAATTTTGGGAGGGACATGGGGGGACTCGAATGTCCCACCAAAAAAAGCAGGGCGCAAGCCCCAAATTTGCCATGTCCTCCTTGGAACAAGTCATTTTGACCCTGGCTATGGACTGCCTGCTAGGCGGTACTTCCTCAGAGAGAAGCACCGGAGGTGGAGACGGTGCTTCAGGCGCTTGTAGCTATAACTGGTTGGCTATCGTGAGGTTGAGGAGAAACTAGGTTCTGCCCACCAATAATTCCACCACAAATTCCATGCCCTCTTGCGGGTTTTCTGATTTTCTACGGCCGCCCAGAGACCCCCGGCCTCGCACCGCTGGCATGTGCGAGGCCAGCACGATGCCCATGCCGAACTTCGATGTGACGGCCGGACACGAGGCGTTTCGTGCGGGGCAAAGGACAAGCGAAGGACAGAATGCGCAAATACGACGTGATCCGAGGTGGAAACAGGGGTGGGGGCCATACTCGCAAAATATGAAGCGGACGTGCTTTTTGAACCTGGTAGGGTGTTTCATTGTAGCAAACTTCACTGTTGTTGGCAGTGTTCTAGCTTTTTCGTTTGTTTGGTTCTGTTCATGTTGGGGGTGCAAACTTTTTTCGCAACCATAGCGTGTCGGGTGTAAGGGACACCCAAGCGCTTGGAACTTGCTTGCCAGGCACCACGTGCCCGGCGAGAGGAGGCAAGCGAGATACCTCTAGCACCTTGGCTGAGCTGTGGTGCCGTTCACAGCCTGAGCCCCCAAAACCCAGAGGTTGGCATGGTTGGCCTTTTGCATATTATATATATATAGGTGGCACCACTACCTGGTTGCTTGATATTTGTAGTACTACTATATGATATAAATTATAAACCCTTCACAGACGCGTTGTGTAGAACTCAAACGGGTTTTTCTTCTCAAAGGGTGTGCTATTTTGGGGAACTTAAAGGCGACCCCGGCAGGTCGCTTTCTGAGGACCGGGGCTTAAACTTCACCCGTCAGCCTGTTTTCCATGGGTTTTCCTGTCGAATGATGTATTCAAGAGGGGGCCACCCCGGCCCCTCCGGTTTGTCGGGCAAAGGACAACGCCATCTGCGTTTTTCCTGGCTCTGCATTCTTGGCGACATTGTTCTGGGACCCACGACACTTCAATCCAGGGTGTGGGTGTTGTGTCAAGGATTGGGACCCTTCAAATTCAAAAAGGTACCTTCACAGAAGCACACCCATCTTTCTGGATGTGCAGGGCGGAGCCTGTTTTCCAAAAGCGTCGGCCACTAGGCTTGGAGAGAAGAGCCTGAGCCACAGGCAGGGTATCTCAGCAAAGTGGGGAGGAATGATGCATGGGCTTGTCAAAATGATGGACCCCTCTGAAACGCCCTCCTTCCACCCTTATGTTCAGTTGGCCTGAAGCTGGTCCGAAGGGCCGAAGCCCTGCAGGTGGAACAAGCTGCAGACAGCTCGCCAGAGATGATGCTCGCGGAGAGAGGCACGTGGATGCTGCAGACCCGCTCGATCGAGGGGTGGGGGGGGCCCCTTAATTGGTTGGGGGCAGCCCTTGCTTAAGGAAACACATGTCCAGTGTACTGCCATGCATTTTGCCTCAGCTCTTGCCCCAAATCCCAGCAAATAAATCCACCCCCTAAAATGCCCAAAACCCACCTCAAAACCCACCCAAAGCCTTTGTTGTCGTCGATTTCTGGCGCATTCCGACGGGACAAAGCCACCCCTGGGGCGCTTCTCGCGAGGAGACGCGGCGGAGGAGGAGCTGGCGGCGGCGGCAGCGGCACTGGTGGAGGCGAGGGAGAAGGGGGTGGATTTTCGCCCATCCGGGCTCCATTTCTTGACAACCCCAAAGTGGACTTCAGGGGTGGTTGATTTTCCCAAAAGGGAACCCACCTGGGTTTAGAGCAGTCAAGAACGGAACCTGGAACCCGCATCCGTGTGTCTCATCAGAACCAGAACCCCAAAGTGCAGCGGTTCCTTTCGGCTCCTGAAACCAGCCCGTAATATATATATATATAAGGGTTTATGATGGTTTCTGTACCCTAAACGGGTTCCACCAAAAAGGGATCACACCAAGATGGCTAGATCCTCTGATTGAATCCTTTGAAACCAAGTAGGCTATTTTCTTTTCCCCAACTGCTTAAGCTATGTATTTGCTCTTAGTCTTCCACTCGCTTAAGAATGTTAACGTTTTCCCGCTGTTGGTTTGAAATCGAATCTATCCCTGCTGGAAATATGCTTATTATTTCCAGGGGACTTAAGCAAATGGATGTAGGGGAACCACACGTTGTTTGATATCGACTGCCATCAGTGTGTCAGTACCAACTTATTCCTTTCCCAGTATCTTGAAATCTGAATGCTGAGCTATCCATCGAAACAAGGGTGTGCACCAACATCAACTCCATAGCGGGCGGTGTCCTGTTGGGACTAGCCAATGGCTTTGTGTTTTTTAGTGACATGTTTTTGGGTTGGCAAACACACCAATGCTTTCCGCGGGGGAAGGACCGTCGGGGGGTGGTTGCGGTCCTTAGGGAGCCTTGGGAGCCACCCTTACAAATTCCACAACAAAAGGATACCGCCCATTTTGGAGGGTTCCCCTACTTGAGAGCAACGCATCCACCGACTGTTTGTAGAGGGTAGAGGGGGAACCCCCAGAACATCTCCGATCCAAGCCCGGCTTCACTTGATTCAGGGAACAGAACTCCGAGTGCCGCTTTGGACACACCTCGCAGTTGTCCAACATATATTCAGTTTTCTTCAACAAGTGTTGAGCGTGGTTCGCGTTTTGAGGGCACCTGTTGGTTGTTTGAGGAAAACAATCAGGAGACCACCCCTTTTAAGGGTGCCCTATTTTGAGACAAACCCGTTTGAGTTGCGAGTTGCAAGTGTTGAATCTCGAGAACTGCTCGCAAGAGACTTGTTTTTCCATTTGCTTGTCGGGCTAGTTGCTGTCGTTTCAGGTAGCTTGCTTTTCCCGGAAGGCAAGCCAGACCTTCTGCCAGCTGGAAGAACGTAGGCCCAGCCGACAACCGAAAATAACAGTTGATCAACCGCAAATCTGTGTTTTGGCCGTGAAAAAAAACAACCACCGGTAAACCAACCCACCCATCCACCCAACCAAGCACCGGCCCGACCAAACGGAGAGGCCTGAGCGACTCGAGGCGAGAGCCGGCCGGTTCCGAGGCGTCCGGTCTTGTGGCCCGGGTGGCCGCGAAGACCCTGTACCGCACGGTGGATGAGGCGACCGGCGACCGGTGGCCGGCGAAACGGCGGCGGCGGCGTTTTCGTCGGAAGGGATGGGTCGGAGGGCGAGGGACCGTTTTCCGGCCAATTGGTGCGAGGTGGTGCGGGAATCATTCCGCCTGAAATTCTTGACATGATTCTGGGTGCGGCATTTTAGTGCCAGGTTTTGATGACTCGAATGGGTCTGTCGTTTTTTGAGGCCCCCAACAAAGGCGGCGAAGGCACCGGGTTTTCATTGTGGCTCAAGTGGGTGTGTCCTTTGAAGAATCGAACCCTCTCAAACTGCTGGTTGTCCTGTTGGTCTCGCTTGAAAACCAACCAGAAAAGGGTTCCCTAAACACAGATACCCCCAAATGCACACTTGAGCCACAATCAAAGGTCGGGTAGATGAAGGTTCCCAGCCAAAAATGGGTGCCGCCTTTTCAATGCTTCATGTTCTGGGTAGACCACTTGTCCAAAGCGAATCGACCTTTTTGTTTGGGAGCATCTCCTTTTTGGTCCCATTTTTCGCGGCCCCAAAAGGTGATCCACTTTTCTGGGAACCAGGGCAACTGAGAAAGGGTCAATCAAGAGCATTTCCCCCCCCCCCCCCCCATTTTGGCATGGCTCGTCGTTTATGCGGACCATCCAAAATGGATTTCGGGGTTCCAGCGGGGTTTCCTTCAAACCAACCTAACAAGAGTACCCCCCCATCCATTTCAAGCCATTGCTTGGTGGCTGTGAATCAAGTGTAGTGGTTGGAACACACGCAGACATGGGTGGACAGAATTCCCACAATTTGTAGCATTCATTTACGGGACCTCCCAAGACTGTGGTCTTCTTTTTGGTTTCCCTTTGCAACCCACAAAAAAGAAGGTACCCTCAGAAAAGGAACCACTCCCAATAATTGAGGACCCCAAAGTAGAGGAAGGGGAGGAGGGGAGGAGGGTGTTTGATTACCCCAAGGGGCAACCCTGGGTTTAAGTCATTGATGTATTTGTTTTCTTCTGTCTTTCTTGGGTTGATCAAAACGCGGAGCCCTTGCGAGGCCTTTCGCTCGCTGCTCTCCGGCTGCTGGTCGCTCTTGTCTCTCTTCGGCTCCGAAGGCATGGGAGTCGAAGCCTAGATGGTCTGGGAGTTACACTAACACGCCGCTTAGAATGGAATCTGCCCATTTTATAGCGAGCTCACCTGGGGGTAGAACGAGGTCAACATGATAAAGGTCCTTTACTTGGGGATCCCTGAACTCAGCTTTTGGCATTGTTGTAGAATTACAAATGGAATCCCTAAGGGTATTTGAGAGTTCCCTAGGGTTCCTTACCGGAGCCTTCAGGAATCCTGCGCTTGGCCCACCCCTCCTTCGGGACTCCATAGAGCAAGACCAACCATGGCAATCGGGTCATACCCGTGGATACTAACAACTTAACGGCCAATACGGCGATTCTTAGTTTCGAGATATTGGGGGTGCGACGTTTGGCAGCCAACTGGCTATGAACCAAGGATCCGGTGCAAGCGCAAGTATATTTTTTGTGGTTCGGGTGTGTTTGTTTCTAGGGGATCCCCCAAGCTGGTGTTGTTTTTTTGGTTTCCTTTCAAAACCACAAAACCGGTTGCCCTCGAAAACACAGCTCGATGTGGCCTTGGCTCACGCTGCAGGTGACGACAGGCCCAAGATCCCGGAACCAGAAGAGGCGGGCCTCTTCCCGTTTTTCCAGTTGCCCAGTGGGTTTGCCGCCCTTTGTCCAATTGTTTTTTTGGGTGGAAGGGTTCCCTTTGAGTCGGGGTTCACTGGGAGGGGCCCCCACCCCCATACAAATAAACAGGGGTTTATTCATCCGGGGTCATTACCACTGCGGGTGAGCCTTTAGCCCTTTTCGGAAAATGTCCGTTGAACGGCTTTGTCGATGTGCGTTGCGCTGACATTGACACTTCTTGAGAAGCCCATGTTTCCAAATAAAAGACACACATGTCAGAGCTAATTTTGAGCATTGCTCACCCCGAATATGATTCTATCGCATCAGCGAACTGCTGGCATTCTAGGCCACTGCTGGGCAAAAGCCTGCACCGCCGTTGCAGGATTCTGTGCATGCAACCGTAACACAAAAACTCAGATGCCCAGTGGGCCATGCAAACAACAGGGCATCTGTTTTTGGTTGGTTGACTCTTGACTTTAAACCAATATCCTGAGCCAGCAGCTCACGGCTTGCGTCATTTCCCACATGCGGTTCGCCAGATTGGGGAGACATCCCCAAAATGGCTGGTTTCCTGTTGCTTTCCCGCTGACTTCCATCAGACACCAACCAAAAGCCGGGGGGGATCCCCAAACAAAAGACAGGCGGGCAGTGTGCTGGAGTCCCTTATGAGCTCCAGCTTGCTGGCGTGCGCAGGTGCTTGTGCCTCAGACACGTCCTACCGATGCCTAAACCAAAAGGAGGTCGTTTCAAGAAAGGTTCAAACTTTACGGTTGCCATGTTTCTCGTTTTTGAGCATCTTTGTTGGTTCTGTTCATGTTTAGGGGGTTGCCAAAAGCAGTTCTTAAACCACCATACCAAGGGTTGGAAAGCAACCCATGGCTTAGACCGAGGGTTGAAATCCCCGAACTCAATCCTTCGCCAGCCCTTTGCTTGGGCTGGGTGGGGATGGTAGACCCAAACCAGAATTTAGACGATCAAGCATCCCGGGAACCATGACACTCGCCGGAGTTGTAACCTTGGCTCGTTTGGGTTTGTCTCAAAACGCGGAACCCAGGAAAGATGTTTTGCTTGCCGAGCCCAAATTTATTGACAGCAAGGCCTATACACCTTGCCGTTGGTAAGAATAATATTAAAAAGGTTCTAGGCACAGATTCCTGGGGCATGCCCTCAGTTCAGTCCAGTCGAATGTGAGAGTTGCACTTGCTGCATGATTTTGGTCCAGCCCATCGGTTGTGTGGTTTTAGGTGAATCTGCGTACCCAACAGCTTTTGGGAGGTCCTGACTGGAGTCTACTTCTAGTCCGGCTTTGTCTCAAAATCAGAATCAGACCCTCCACCCTAGAACGGGTGGTTTCCTTAGGGATCCCCTTTAAAACCATCCAAGAAAAAGTTACCCTCAAAACAAGACAAACCCATTGTCGCCAGTTCCAAAAAATAACCAGCCATGTTGGGGTTCCCCAGATTTTGGGACCCTCCCAAAAAGACGAGCCACCAGGCTTGTTATTTCCGCGACTCCGCTCGCATTGAAAAGACTGAGGTTGTGACCATTCTGGTCAGCATTCGAGCCCCAAGGGTCGTGGTCTCAGGTGTTGGCTCAGGTGGTGTAGTTTTGTTGGGGCAGACCTCAAAATACTCTTTGCCGTTTCTTGCTGGTGCGAGAGGTAGGGAATGACCCTCTGGGTTTGGGAATGATCCGTTTGGGATTCCCTTAAAGCCTCAAATGAAACCGTAGGGATGGTTTATAGGGGTCATTCCCTCATTCTTCTGCTAAGAAGTAAAATAACTGTTTGCAATGGGTCGGATCGATCCGTTTGGCCTAGTGGTTGGCTTCCTTTTTCCCGGGAAGCCTGACTTGGAAAGAGACGGGAGGTGCTTGTTTTGGAGTTGTTTTTGGTTGCTTTTAAAAGACACACGTTTTGTTTGTCCGGATCGATCCCGTTTTGTGCGTTCCGGAACCCGTTTCAAACATTCGTGATGCGATGTGGGAAAGTTTGTCTCCAAATAGCAGAACGGTTCTTTCCTACGGGTTTTTGTTGGTTTCCTTAAAATTGTCAACTTGAAGGTCCCAAAAGACTTAAAACAACAAGGTGCTCTCACCAAGAATGGACACTGGAGGCGCCTCCGATTTGCACGGAATTGGGTTTGTCAAAAAAAGTGGTATCAACCCTCCCCCCCCCCCAAAGAACAAATGCATGGTTCCATGTCGGTTTCGCCTTAGAACCAAGCACAACGGGAACCTCCCCCCCCCTGTAAGACACACACGCGCACACAATTCCACCCGCTACAAAGGGTTATTTGCCTCTTGGCTTCCCCTTCAATGAGACTTGCTGCGTTGTTTCTTGATACCCTTTAGTGTTTGCCCTACAGGCGGCAAACCGAAGCCCGTTTCGGGTTCGCCCTGGTTTTGCCAAAGAGAAGCCGAAGCCCAGGTCGGCGTAATGAGAAAGTAATAACATCCAGACAACCCTTCAGCGTTGATTGGTTTGGTGCGATGGGGATTTGAGCCCCTGATTCTGGCAGGAGTCAACTGGCAACCACCGCCTGAACACCTCCGAACAAACCAAATCACCAACTGGATGGAAGCTGAAGTATTGGCAGTGTACTGCTGTTCAAAATGTCCACCGCATAAACCATGGGATTGGGCGGGCCCAAATTGTCCCACATTTGTTCCTAGAAGCCTTGGTCAGATTTGAGTGGGAAACAAAGAGATTTGACCCTTTCTCTCGCTTCCCAAGTCCTTGGACAAAAGAGCTTTTGGGCAAATGGATCATCTTTTGGCGCGCAGAAGCTTCGGACATTTGTTTGACCGACCCGATGTAGGAGGCGAATTGTTGCGGCCGAGCGAACTCTGGCCAGGAAATGTCCAGCTTCGAGTCCCAGGCGCGGGAGACGGGGAAGAAGCACAGGTGTGGGTGGGTGGGTGGGTGGGTGGGGGGTGGGTGTATTTGCGTGTATTTGTGCGTGTGTTATAGTTATAGGTCCTTATAGGTACCTTGTTGTATTTGTGTATTACAGTTATAGAGGGGGTTACCCAAAAGGAGATTCCACCAAAAAAGGGCCAACGCAAGAGGGTCAAACACTCTGGTTGAATCCTTGAAACCAATTGGGTTATTTCCTTTTTCCCCAGCCGAAAGCTATGGATTTGGTCGATAGGCCCAGATAGGCGACCTTTGTGGTTGGGGCAGCTTTCGTTCAAAAGGAGATTCGGTTCCAGCAGGTTCCGGGTTGCCGGCCCTGCGCCTGGGCTTGGCTTAAGCCAAGAGAAAAGGGCGGGTTTAAGGAAGGCCGCAGTCCACTTTGCGGTTCTGGTGCCACACGGCGAGTTGTTCCTGACAGGCAAAAATCCACACATGTCACGGCATGTTTTCGGTGGGGCTTTGTCCCTCCCAACTGTTTTTTTCTCCAGAAATTCTGGAAGACTTTTCAGATGGACGTGACCCCAAACAAAAGACATATTTTCGAGGAGTCTCCTTTGTTCCCCAGCTGAAAGCTTTGGGGTCGCTAGGGCCAGGTAGGCGACAGGGTGGTTTGGAGCAGATTAGACGGTCCCCGGGCTGTTGGGAATATCACCTGGGATTCTATGTGACATGGCAGGTGTTAAATTCAGGGAAGATTGGCCGATACACCCATCGCTCGAGGGCCAACTTTGATGGCAAACAGAATGAAGCCGCCAGGCGATGAACTGTGTTTGGGTTTTTGGTTCTGTTCATGTTTATTGGAGGGGGCTGCGAAAACAGCCCGTTTCTGGCCAGCCCATCCCAGGGGAAGCCGCAGGCGAAGGCCATGGCCTCCCCTCGGATGATGCAGATGGCTGCGAGCCCCGCGGCGCCCTTTCCGTCGCCCCACACTGTGCCCATGCCGACCATCGTGGAGGTGGGATCGCTGGCTCGCTCGCTACGGGATCGATCGTGGAAGCCTCCCAGTGGAGGTTCCTCTCTTCGAGCATACGCTGGCAGACCCCAAATTTGGGGCACTGGGCTTGAACAGTATAGTATAGAAGAACCGAAAAGTCAGCATTGGAACTGGAATCCTGGGAGGCCACGTAACGTTGGCTGTTGCTTGTGTTTGATCTGAAACCTATCATGATAATTTCTGATCATCCAGGAGCTCACATGCAGCTCCACGGACAAGAGAACCCGCTTTTTGTAGCCACCCCTCATTTTGAGACAGACCTACCTCTGTGCATTATGGTTGGAACCCCTCAAAGGACCAAACTCAGGGGAAACGCAGGACAGTAATGCTAAGGCGAACAACATACATGAGCCCGCAGAACTTCATAGAAGCCTCGCCCCCTTCGCAGACCCCTCCCCCCCCTTCCCCTCCTTTCGCAGAACCCGCCTGGGGTTCGTGTAGATATTCCCTTCAAATATATTTAGGTTTTCCACTCATCCCTTGATTGTTCGCACTAAGCTCGGGCGTCTTCGCAGAAGTTCAATTCACACTCCCTCGCTCCCACAAAGTTCATAAAAGGACCGCCTTTTACTCTGCAGTCCATTCTCCTCCTGCGTGTTTCCCCCTAACAACATGCTTGCAATTGATGTCCAGCAAAGGTGCCCTAATCAATCTAGAACCAGTGTCAGGGACAAGGCACATCGGTTATATTGGAAAGGTCAACCACAGAAAACAACCCTCTATGTTGAGAAGGAAAAGGGATGACGCCAAAGGGTGCTTGTGAAACTATGTTGCTTGCTGCCCGAGCGAATGAAAAATTCAGATCAAACAAAACAGCCCAGTTGTTCGCCAATGCGTTTTTCCTGAACGCATGCTTAGTTAAAGATCCGGTAGCACATACTCCATGGAGGGACATGGAGACTCGCGTTCTTTGTTAACGACACGTTATGCACTAGGGGGGAGGGAGAGGGGGTGGAGGGAGCCTAAATAAGGCCTTTTATTGAAGGTTTCATAAGGCCTTGGCTTCCCTCCCCCCCAGCCCCCATGAAGTCATTTTTACCGCGGCTAATATGTTGCGATCATTGGGCACAGCGAGCTTTCAGCTTGGTGCTGGCAGGCTTCGCGGCAGGCGGTGGCAGCTCTTGGCTTAGATGGGAGATATTTTTTGTGGGTTGCGTGCTTTTTGGGGAGCCCTTTCAGGCTTGCTTGTTTCGAGGAACTACGTCACAACTTCACAACCATCATGTTTGAGGTCCCCCTCCCCATTTAGAGACATGTCCATGTCTGTTTGCTTGGCTTGCGGGCTTTGGGAGCTTTTGAAGTGAGCGACAGCATCAAACCTTGGGTGCCGTCAGATACACCTTGATTCAGCGTGATTGCTCCGACTAAGAGTTGCAGAGTGTTAAGAGTTGCTGGCCCGCTGAGCACGTGCTCTCAATGTGCATGGCTGCTGAGGGCGAGGCTGTCATTCTTATTTTCGGGAGCCCCGTTGTGGTTGGTTTGGACACGTTTTTCAGGTCTTGTTTGGTTTCAAAGGGAACCTCAACAGAAACCACCCAAAACGGGGGGGGGTTCTCGAATGTTGAGACACCTCCACTTTTCTCCCCGAGTAATCCGCACAATGATGAGCATGGACACCGATCGCAAACAGTTTGCGACTTCATGGCCCATATTTCCCATTGGTTTAAGTTCGGTGTTTTTTTGGCCATCACCTTTTGGGCTCAATTTTGTTTTAGCGATTTCCGTTCGGCGAGGTGTAGGAGAACTCTACGCCCTGAATGCTGCCCCACGAGGCATGTAACACGCCTGCACGGGCCAGAAGCACGCAGCAACTGGTGCGGGCCTTGGAGGCGAGAGAGAGAGAGAGCGGAGCTGAGCGAGCCACTTGCTCATTTGAGGTGCGGCCCCCACCTGCTGTTTTGATTCTTTGCCGGAGCTTGCTCAAAACCAAGCTGTGCGGCGGCCCCCCCTTTCTTGACTCGCCATGGGTTTTGCTCTTTTCCGGGGTCTGATTCGGCTTCCCAAAGCCTTAAGGCTTTGTGAGGATGTCTTGCGGCACCTAAGGTTGTCGAGTTCCTGTGACCCCTTTCCTTAAGGTCCCAAAGGATTTTCTTCGAGTGTCTGCCACCTGGATTGCTCACAATGGGACCAGGCCCAGCCCACACCGGGAAGGACCATTGGCTGAGCGTCGCCTGCTGGTTGGGGCTTTTCCTCCAGGGCTTCATGGGGTTTGAAACGTCAAAGACGGGGAATCCATTGAATCCCACATCTCTCCAGAAAAGAATCAAACGGTCTACCTGGTTTGAAAGATTGCGAGGGGGCCGGGTGTGTGTGTGTGTGTGTTTGTGTCTGTGTGTCTGTGTGTCTGTGTGTCTGTGTGTCTGTGTGTCTGTGTGTCTGTGTGTCTGCGTGTCTGTGTGTCTGTGTGTCTGTCTGTGTGTCTGTGTGTCTGTGTGTCTGTGTGTGTGTGTCTGTGTGTCTGTGTGTCTGTGTGTGTGTGTGTGTGTGTGTGTGTCTGTGTGTGTGTGTGTGTCTGTGTGTGTTTGTGTGTTTGTGTGTGTTTTGCCTTGGCGTGTGTTTGTGTGTTTGCGTGTTTGCGTGTTTGCGTGTTTGGGTGTTTGGGTGTTTGGGTGTTTGGGTGTTTGGGTGTTTGGGTGTTTGTGTGTTTGTGTGTTTGTGTGTTTGTGTGTTTGTGTGTTTGTGTGTTTGTGTTTTTTTGTGTTTGTGTGTTTGTGTGTGTTTGTGTGTGTTTGTGTGTGTGTGTGTGCGTGTGCGTGTTTGTGTGTTTGTGTGTTTGTGTGTTTGTGTGTTTGTGTTTTTTTGTGTTTGTGTTTTTTTTTGTGTGTGTGTGTGTGTGTGTGTGTGTTTGTGTGTTTGTGTGTTTGTGTGTTTGTGTGTTTGTGTGTTTGCGTGTTTGCGTGTTTGCGTGTTTGCGTGTTTGCGTGTTTGCGTGTTTGCGTGTTTGCGTGTTTGCGTGTTTGCGTGTTTGCGTGTTTGCGTGTTTGGGTGTTTGGGTGTTTGGGTGTTTGGGTGTTTGTGTGTTTGTGTGTTTGTGTGTTTGTGTGTGTGTGTGTGTGTGTTTGTGTGTTTGTGTGTTTGTGTGTGTGTGTGTGTTTGTGTGTGTGTTTGTGTGTGTTTGTGTGTGTGTTTGTGTGTGTTTGTGTGTGTTTGTGTGTGTGTTTGTGTGTTTGTGTCTTTGTGTCTTTGTGTGTTTGTGTGTTTGTGTGTGTTTTGACTGTTCTCAACAGTGCGACAAGCCTTGGACCCCCCGAGAAATGATTCAGGGTCCAAAAACGCGGCTTGTTCTGCAACTCCGAAGAAAATGCGCACTTTCACGCTCAGCTGTGTGTTCTTAGCCGTCCCCTGGGCCCATAGATCAGCTCGAGACAGGCTGCCATCGAGAATGGATTCGATAGTCATATCAGAAAGAACCCTTTGGGCCTCTCAAACGAATCAGAATCTGCAAAGCGAGAACTCAACTTGGCACGTGAGAAGTTTGCGATCATACGCATTCCATGTTGCAACTGCAATTTTCGCATTCGACCTGTAACATGCTTTTGCAAGGTGCGTAGCCACGGCACAATCAACACGTGGCTTTCAGGTGCCTGAACACCCGAACATAGTTTGGACCTTTGTTTTACCCCAATACGGACGACATGGTTCTTGCAAATAGTATGAAGTTTCAACTCGACACCAAGAACACAAGTTGGATTCTCTTGGTGTTCCTCATGAAACCGGCTAAAGCTTCCATCATTTGGGGTTTCAGCCCCCTTGGATGGTTTCAAATGGGGAAGGGGAAACAAACAAGTTCGCGGCAGTTCGTTTTTTGGGAAAGTGAAGGGGCCCCGCCGCTAGCACTTTCCAGGACCTTCATGTCTCTGGTGGGTCGAACGCCGCAGGGCTCGGCGGGATCCCCGATGGCTTTCTTCGAGTGTTTTTTGCTTTTGGGCATAGGCCTCCCCCATTTGGGCGGCAGCCAAGAACAGGTTTGGGGGTGCCCCATTTAAAGGGGATGGACCCTAGGGGAGGACCAAAGGGGGAAACAGAGCCTCAGGGGGTACCATTTTGAGACATACCCGTTTCCCGTGAGATCCGATTGCTTGGGGTCCACCGCCTCAGTTACACTTTTCCACGTTGAGCATCTGCTTTCGATGCGCAGCCTCGCTAAAACCACGGCATTGACCCCTTGAAATCATTGCCCGCCCAGCTTCCGCTTGAGGTGGGGGGATGGGTCTCGCGGATTGTTGGCGTGTTGCCATCGAAATATCACGTGCATGCTTAAGGCACATTGGGTTTGATGATGCCCAGACAGTTTTACTCGATCCTCAATGTGGTGCAGTTGTCATAGGGATGGCCTGCTGGGGTGTTCTTTGGTTCAGGACATTTCTTCCCGCTGAAATGGCAGCCTTTTACATAAAGGCGGGGGCTGTTTCCTAACCCCCCGCAGGGGTTTCTGCCTGACGTTGGCACCTCAGGCGGCCTTGCCAGTTGCGCCGTTGCCAGTGGCGAGTGGCAAGCTGAGTGGAAGCACCTGGTACTCGTTGGTTCAATTCCCTATCTCAATTTCCCGGCCTCCGAACGTGGCAGTGAATCAATGGAACCCGCTGAATTGATCTAAGGGAGGAACTCCAGTAAGCCTTGACTTACCCCTCTCAGTTGGTATGTTACGTGGGAGGACTTCAGGTACGTCAGCCGCAGGCCCCGATTTATGAACTTGGACTGAACGCAACCAGTGTTCGAGATCCCTTTGACGGAACGAGGGGACTTGCCCCATGAAGATTCTCGCCATGTTATTTTTGTTTATCCTGGCAATCCCTTTTCTTGCCAAAACCAGGATGGATATCCAGGCAATCCCTGGTCTGGCCAAGCCAGGATGCATATCCTGGATCCGAAATGCGAAGCGTCCCAGATACCTTCGCATCGCATCTGTCGCAGTTGCAAGGCAAGAAGGATCGCCGCTTGCCGCCGCCTCCTGTAAGCCTAGCGGGGTGCCTGGAGTGCCGACTGGACAAAATCAAGAGGGATTGCTTGCTCCCCACAGCCGAATGAATGTGCAACGTCGGACAGCCCTGTTGGCCATTTTAGTAAGTGGCTCTACTGCCTGGTTTCATAAGAATTTCAGTAAGGATAGTAAGGCCTATACAAGCCTTCATAAGCATGTTCGTAGAACCAACAGTAAATGCATGGAGTCAGTTGCTGAAATCGCGAGCCCAGAAGAGTCTCGAATTCGAGCTGACCACTCACAAGTCAAGCAAGTGTCGTCTTGCTTCGAGCTCACCAGTCATTGTGACCTTTGGCTGGTTGCGAGGCATGGGTCCACGTTTAGAGTGCATCCACTCAGCACGCGCCTACCTTCGGGGGCAATTTGCAGCCAAAAGCACATCACTGGGTTCGCTTCTTGAGGCCGTCACTCTGGTCAAAACGAGGGTTTTCCCTCTGGGTTTCCCTTGAGCACAAACCTATCCAGGGCTACTCCTTTTTTCCAAGGTGGGGCCAGAGCAGATGCAGATGCCCAAGATCACTCCAAAGATGTCCGCGCAGATACCTATTCACATGCCTGCGCCGGGGCCTGAGCGACGATCTGGCGATAGCAAGGAGTTAGCTGCTGGGGATGAGATGTGTTTCTGCCCATGTGATTCATGTGATGGATGTTTGTCTCGTGAATCCAAAGGAACCACCACAATCAAAACCGGTTCGGGGTAGTTGAAGGCTGGAGGACAGTGACAGTTTGAATATGGACTACTTTGTTCGAGGATACCCCGAACAGCAGGTATACTCCCTATTTGGTGGTTTAGATTGTTGGTTTCGGGATTTGAACCCTTCTTGTAGGTAGAAGGACCAAGCCACCCAACCGGCAATTAAAGGGAGTTCTCGTGATTTGATTGTGCTGAGCTGTAGCGCATTGTTCCTTTTGTTTAGTTGGACCCCCTAAGTTTGGCAGTGTTTACGGCAAGCCAAAAGGAAAACTACCCATTCTGTGGGTCCCCCAAGAAGCGACACCCCCAAAAGAGACAAGGCTTCCTTAGGATCCGATCCGCTTCACGTCGCAGGAGGGCCGAGGGCCAGGAGAGGGTTCTGGGGGCGTTTTGGCCGAGATCTGGACGCCCAGCCCAGTTCCGAGTGCAAACGTTTTTTGAGGGTAGACAGTCTTGGCCGGGGTTCAAAGGCCAACCACAAACACCCAAACTTTGTTGTTTCCCCACCTTTTTGAGACAATTCGTTTCAATTGGGCGGGAGCTTTTTCGTCGTTTGAAGCACTTAGCACAGGCGGCAGGGCACGACCGCAAAAAAAGCCCAGCTTCTTTGAGGTATCCCCATGTATGTTTTGAGATGCCCCAAATCTTCCAAACGAATGTGTTTCTTTTTGCAGTGGAAAATATCATCCTCAAATGAGCTGGGAGTAGGTAGGTACTTGACCTTCGCGTACTTGTATTGAGCTGTCACACGTTGCTTGGCTTGTGGTTCTGATGCTTCCCCCCTTTGGTGGAGATGTGGATCGCTCAAGAGCCAACACAAAATACACGTGTGTTGTTTGTTGAGGATTCCGTTTGTTGGGAGGAGCCATGCCCGCATGACAGCTCATGGCGTTTCTCTGGCGTGGGCGACGGCGAGGAGTGCGCTCGCTGCGGCTCGCTGATGGCCGCAGATGCCAACTTCTGTCGGCACTGCGGGCAGCAGAAGGGCAAGAAGTTCAAGGCGGCCACCGGGTTGTCCATAGCCCAAGACAATTTTCAGGCATAGGCTTTGAAGGTATGGATGGATGCTGAACAAAAAGTAGTATAAGCTTGTAATGCAGTTTATGACCCTTATACAACAAGCGGTTTATATGATTTCTTTACTTTCAAGTTTCATACCTGACAATTGTTCCGGCAGCTCTTGATTAGTAGTTTGGAAAGGTGGTCGGGGGCTTCAAATTCCTGTTCAAGTTCCGAAGCTCCAACGGGTTGTACCAGGGTGTGATACAAATGCCACATTCAAAGGCTCGGCAACCTTTCGACGCAGGCGGCGATGCCACATGGAGAGCCTAGCAGAAAGGCAACCTCGAGAGGCAAATCGATTCACACCGTCAGAGCTTGAAGGGCTCTTGGCAGGGGAGCGGGCTTGAGCATTCAAGCATTCCTCCGTTCTCGCTCCTGGCCAAACACGATAAACATGATAAACTCCTTTGTCTTTGTGTTGTTTCAACGGGAAATCCTTGGGAATCTGGCCCCCTAATTCTTCCAAGGGGCTTCCACATCCCAAGTTTCTTCGCATGCGATTGCTCCTTCCGGGCCAATTTGGAGCGGGACATCGGTTTCGGGGCTTCGCATGAAGAATTCAGCTGGACCCGAACCGGAGCCGGGCCCACGCTGGTTGCAGCGTTTCTTGCGGGCGGCGGCGGTGGAACCCCGCGAGTCGCAAATCAAATTCGGTTTTTTGCCGGACGAATTCCCGCGCGTTTGCATAGATGGAAAGCCCAAATCTTGCACAGCACACTTTTTGGGAGCGGGCGACCTTCATATTTGAACAATGTGGGTATCATGAAATGCAATGCGTTTTGATCAGTTTTCGGGTGTGGCTTCCTATTCGGAGAACCCTGAATGGGAATTTCAGGATTGCGCTCAACGGCGTTACCAGGCAGATTTGGAGGATTTTGAGGATGTCACTTTTATGGCCCTATCATCCAGTGAAGGGGTCCCGCCATTTACTGAGCTCTAGACATTCTGACAGCGATGGTGTGTCTTTTGGCTCACAGGGAGACACGTGCGGAAGATGGGGAGGCTCAAACATATCAAAAAATGACGCCTTCGGGCAGACCCCATGCAGCTTCTTCAGACGTGTTTGGGCCCTGTTTTTTGAGCTGGTAAACCCTTGAGGTGAATCTTGCCATTTCCAAGTTTGGACGAGTTCTTCCTCCATCATCTTTTTCATGAAGTCTCTCTTCATCATGAAGTCGTTTTGTTCGAAAAGCCCTGAGGACCTTCCGTGCAATTAGAAATTCCCGCGCCTTTGGCGCCCGCCTTTCAGTCCCTTCGCTTCCGAGGCGCCGCGCGCCGGGAGCCGGGGGCGAGCCATGGCTTCCGCGGAGGTCGCGCGGGTCATGGCGGAGGCCGCCTCGCTGGTGGAGGAGACCTGGAAGGACCTGGCAGGCGGGGTGCTCCCGGATTTGACGGCCGGGACAATACCTACTTGAGAATTGGTTCAGTATCGGCCTACTCTAGAAGTAGTATTCCCGGATTGGGGATTCTCAAAAAAAGAACATATTAGGGGGCCTTGATTATTAGGAAGAAGGGATTAGTGGGCCAAGATAGCTCTTTCGGCTCCATGTTTTTTCCCAGGCCATGGTTTCACACGCCCTTCTGCAACCCACTGTGAACGGGTCCAGTGACTTGTTGGTTCTGCCTTGCCCGGAGAGACAAAATAAAACCACTCATTGTTTGGGGCTTCCCAAAGCCAAGGTATGGGTTAAGCTGCATGTGTGTTTCCTTGTCATTGTTTGTTCCTTCCTTTCTTTGGGTCGGGGGAGGGAGGGGGGGGGGAGCCGAACGTATCTTCCAGTAGGCAAGAGGCAACGTCGGGGGTGCGAACATGTGCGAACATCAATACATGCTCTCCCTAGCATCCCAAGACCTTAAATACGAGGGCCTTTCACTCCAAATAACAGGGTCCTGGAACCCAATCAGAAGCCAGCTTTCACCAGTATTCCCTGAAACCAACTTCAGGGAACCGAAGCAGCCCCCAGAACTGCATTCTTTGTTCTCGGGCGCGTTTTCTTAAATGGCCTTTGGACCCCCATTTGGCACGCTTGTTCAAAGCCAAGGACAGGGGGGGCGGTCGGCCGTTCGGCCGAAGCCTCCGAAGCCTGAAGGAAGTTCGCGCGCACGCCAGGCTCTCCGCGGAAGTCCAAGTCGCCGAGCTCCTTCCGGGCGGGGAAAGGGGGGGGGGCCGTCGGTTGCTTTTAAACCGGGGAACCCCAAAAGGACCCCGTTGCCTTTTTGCTTTTTTTTTGGGGGGGTCCCCTAAAAACAAGACAGACATGTTATGGGGATCCTTCATTTTTTGGGGGGTTGGTGAGTTTTTGGAAGGTTTGTATGAGCTACCTCTAGTTGTGCTTGGGGATAGAACTCTAGAGCACGGGGTGTTTATTTCGACACCGCTCTGCCAGGAGAGCTTGCGCAAGGGCCAAAGGAAGCCCGGAGCCCAAGCCGTGGGCGGCAGTTCGTTTTTTGCTCTTTCGACTTACCCACTTTTGGTCCGTTTGTCGGTTCCATATTTCCTTGTTCGCTTTTTTAAGCATCACCTAGTGAGTCCACTTCCCTGTACCAAGGTAGCCACCCATTAAACACCAAAAGGGAAATGCCTGCATACTATATGGGTAGCTGGGATCCGTGAGTTTTGGGGGTGATTTGCTTATCTGGAAATACGTTTGGAGCCTTTGTCCCGTTTTCCATGGGAGACCCTCCAAGACAACTTGACATATTGACCAATGGGAACTCGAAATAGGACGGGCTTGTGAATCCGGGGTGAACCTTACATCCCTTGGGGTCATGCTTTTCAACCTTCTTGGGGAGGAGATTGTCTGTGAAGCCTTCCAAGGAAGGCAACAAGACTCAAAGATACGGCTCCAAGAGACTGGTTCAGAAGGCGCAAAACATTGTATCTCTTCATAAGGCAAGCCAAAGTCGTGTCCGGCAAGCTGCAAGCGCAAGTGGCCAAGGGGGAAGTGGAACGGACGTGTCACAGACCTCACCATGAAGGAGTACCGTGACATGAAGCGCCTCGGACGCAGCGCTTGACGTGTATCCAGGATTCCTTGTTAATGTGTATATACCCCTAATCAAGCCGAACCCTGGTTGATTTTGATTGGGGGGGTGCCCCCTTGTGCAAGGGGAACATTTCTCCTCGGACAGATTCACAGAGGCTCGTGTATTCCCAAGAAACCCTTCAGTTTGAGCCTGTCAGTTGGATGTGTGTGTGTCTGTGTGACTGTGTGTGTTTCAGTTGGCAACCAGAATTGTTTCAGTTGGTAGCCAAGTTTATTAGTTTGAGTTGTTTGAGTTGTTCGAGTTGTTTGAGTTGTGAATGTTTGCTCCGTTCTGTTTTGACACTTTTAAACGAGCGGCTTGATCTAGATCTCACGAAAGGGAAGACTGAAGGGAAGGCACCCTAGTAAACCAGGGGTTTATGAATCCGGGATTTCCATGCGTGATTTTGGGAGGTGTGTGTGCTCAAAAAATAGGGTGCTCTTAGATGGGTTACAAGAAGGGACACCAAAAGGAAACCACCTTGGAATCGGAATTGGTCTCTTTGCGACAGAGCTTCAAGGACGGAGTTTGTGGCACATTTCTCTCAGGTGGGGCATGGACGCGGCGGCCCGAGATCACATGCAGCGGCAAGAGCCTTCCAGCACTTCTTTCAGCGGAAAGGTTTTTTGGTTGTCAACATCTTGCTGTTGTAGTTTTTTGTGGTTTTGCACCGCAAGGTTTCAAACTATGCCTCCTGCTACCAACACCTTTTGGTTCCCTTTCGCATTGCAGTTCCTGGCGGTGTGATGCTAGGTTTATGTCGGACCCCTGAAGCGGCCCGACACTGAACTCAGGCTGGCTATCGAGCCGCGCTGCGAGTTGGGTCGCGGTCTCGGGTCATCGGATCTCGTTTCAAGCGGCGGCCCTTCGCTTCGCTCGACGCGGCGGCCCAATTCGGGTGTTGGCAGTGCTCTGATCTCTTCTCGGACCACATTCGGAGGGCCCCTGCCCCCCTGATAAGTATGGATTATTAGTCCGAGGTCAACATTGCGTCGAGTTTTCCTAGAGAACCCCCCCTAAAATAATAATAATACAAAAAATGTGCTGGTGTTCTTTATGGTTCCCCTTCAAACCCAACCAAAAACAGGGTCCAGAAACAAGACGTTCTTAAGAAGGACACGTCGAGCTTCGATCCAAAACGGTCTTGGGACGCGTGAAGCCTCGAGGCCAAAGTGGAGCTTCCGGGGCTCACTGTCCAAGCCCCTGCGCATGAACTCCGATGCCCGGCGCCCAGATGCGTTGTTTTCCGACCGCGGGCTTTGGTTTGACTCGGGGAAGTGCAGTTGCCAAAAAACCATCCGACCGCCGGGGTTGGTTTGAGGAGGAATTTGGATGGAATTCGGCTTTGCTTGTGAAGTGCAGTTGCAATTGTGTGGCTTGTCTTTTTTTTGGCTCGGTACCCCTGCAGTGGCGTTTTAGTGGGAGTTCAATTGGAAACTGACAATTTGTTGGTATCCTCGATTTAAGAGGACACCAATTTGTCGATAGTGACTTGGGGCACAATGACCCAAGCTCTGGCATCGCCTAATTGGCAAGGCTGCTTTCCCATTGTCTCAAAATTGGTTTCAGGCCTTTCAACAGGGCAGGGATAGAAAGACACCCGACAGATCCTCATGTAGGCATGTATACTCACTGGAACTCGCACGGGGGGAAAGAAACATGTCATGTATTAATGATCCATTTTGTTTCGGCGCACCAGAGTGGCTCAGACGCTGGCGCCGCCGCGGCTCAGGGCATGCTAGATACCAACGTGGCGAAGGCCTATGATGCGCGGGGGGCCTTGGTTGATGTGACGAGAAAGGGCGACCCTTCCTCCTGACATCGCATTTGAGGCACCTGCAAAATGCAATTCTCTTTAAGGGTCAGGTGCATGTCACTGTCATTGACTCTACATTACAATGGGCTCACCTGTGGCTTACGCACTGTAACGGTCGCATTAGTTGGGGTCTCCTTACTTCCACTGGAGGTATCATCGCATGCTGCCCAGATTCATTGTAAAAGGGATGATGTAGGGCACACTCACCAACTTCCCATCAATCATGATGTTTACTCACCAAAATCCAGTGTCAGTTGGGAACACAATGGAGAAAATGACGACTATTGGCCATGCCTCAGATGCGCCGCAACTACGCACTGAGGTGCTACAACAGTGCTCCCAAGGTAACCTTTGGGAAGACACTCATTGGAGCCCGCCGGCCCAGCGATGTTTTTTTGCCGAGCCCGCGATGGGCAAATAAATGGGGTGGTTTCTTTGTTTTGGGGAACGGTTCAACGGGACAAAGGGGACAGCGCCATTTGCTTGGTACCCCGAAAATTTAGCAAACACTCATTTGGCTGTGGGCCAACACAAATGTTTCCATTTTGGGGTAGGTGCACCACCCATTTTTGTCTATTTTAGTGGGATTGGGATGTTCACTGGGGTACGGGCTTTTGACCCATGGCCATTTGGCTTTGGCAATGACCCCGCAAAAAAAGGGTTGGTCACATCCACGGGTCTGACGTTGGGTCAAGTACTGTTTTTTTGGGGGGGACGAGAAGCGGTCTTCATCCGCGTACCCAAGTTGCCCTGAAGAGGTCTTGGGAGACTGGGGGGGTTTGCCAATCTGGAATTTGTCCGCTCCGAAAACGGCTTGCCGTTGTGGTGACCCTTCCATGACATGACCCCAAAAAGCAGACAACCCTCAAACCTTCCAAAGACCCGATTAAACTGGGTTGGTGGCAAAACCTGTGTTTTTGTTTCTTGCTTTACTCTTTGAGGTGTCCTTTTGCAGGTGAAAACTGGGTGCCACGTAGGACATAGGACTCCCGGGAAATAGCTTCACCCGAGGTGAAGGACCCCTTGGCGGACAACCCGGGGCCGCAGTACCTGGTGCCCAGCACCATGCAACGCGGACCTGGTGGGTTGGGTTGGGAGGCCCCCCCAACCGTAGCACTGAGTGATGTCCACTGGAGCCACACTCAAAACCCGGGTAGATGAAGGTAAGGGACAATCCCAACCATGGTTCTGGGTAGACCATTTTGATACCGGGGTTTGATTATGACTCACTTGGGGTGCCTTGGAATTCACACCCACACATTGCCACAGGGTGCCCTTTTGCTTGGTGATGTTTAAAGGGAAGCCAAAAGGAAGAGTGCCAAAACTAGCCGGTCCGATTCCTAAAAAAGTCACAGCCCTATTTGGTTTCCATTTGCTGAAATGAGTATGTTCCAATTTACCCGGTTGGTTTCAAGGATCTTTATTTTTTCCAGGGGACGCACAAGCAAATGGAGGATGGATGTGACATGCTCACCTTTGCAGGGACGGTCTTTTCATGGGCCAAGTTTTGCGGTTTTAAAGGGACAACTTTACTTTTTGCCTCAGGCGGATGAATCTATGGGGCTGTGAGTCAAAATCAGGGGAACCCCCCCAAAAAAATGTGTGTTTTCCTTTCGATTCCCTTTGAAATGACCTCAACAAAAAGGGTAGCCTCTACAAAGATTGGCAACCCTCGGCGATTGAGCGACGGCGGGCTTGAGGTTTTTCTCCTCCAAGGTTCTGCTAACGGGTCTGAACGCAGTCTTGAAATGGGTTCTAGCATGTGAGTTTGACACTTTTCCCCAACTGCTGAAAGCTTGGGGTCTGGTTCCAGGGGCTTCCGGGGCTGTTGGGGATACCACCTGGGCTTATGTTCTGAAGGAACCTTCGTTTGGGCATCTAGCTGTCCAGCGGTGCGGTGACTGGGGCCCTTTGGGACGGGAGCTTTGTGGTGACGACTTGTCAAGCGGATGTTTCCAGGGCCTCCAAAAAACAACATATACCCTTCCTACCACTAACATGGCAACTGACGCAGGGTACCCCCAAGAGGAAAATCATCTTCAGGGTACCTTTCCACAGGTGCTATGTTTGTTCGAGGGAGGATCATTGTGTTTGTCTTCTTTTTCGAAGCCTCTTGTAGGTTGTTGTTTCAAAAAGGAGGCCAAGGGGAAACCGCCAACTTTGAGGCCGATGTTTTTTTCTCCCAGAGCGTCCAAGGCAGACCAGCGGGCACCCCACCATTTGGAAGCACGCAGGAGCGGGCAGATATTGTGGAGAATGACTTGCGACGCAACTGGCGATGGGAATAGGGGACCACCTCAAAAGTGGTTGGTGGACATGAACCCTCACCTAAACAATGCCACCAAAACAGGGTCCCCAACTCATGGATGGTTCTCTCAACTCAACTCATGGTGAGGGATTGGTGGAAGCCCAAAGAACAAGGATCCCAGTTTGTGGGTGAGTGGAAAGACAGGGTCAGCCATCGTTCAGGGGAGACATGGAGACCCGTATCCCTACAGCCCAAAAAATTGCCAAACATAGCAGACTCTAATTAGGTTGTTTCAGAACGGTTCTGGGGTGGGGGGGGGTACCTCATCTTTGATCTCACAACTCATACCCAACCCCCACTTACAGGTAGCTATCTTTAGTTTCCACAGGTGGGAGGTATGATGAGGTCAAGTAGGAAAGGCGGGTGAATGTGCCATGTCAGTCTTGACATACCTTCCCACCATGGGAACCAAAGCCTCCCAGTTTCAGCAAAGTCGTTTCCGTGGTTCAAGCGGGGGGTTTGACTCGTTGAATCGCTTCCGTTCTCGCTGTCTTTGTGGCAGGCTTCAAGTTTGGCTCCGAGACACTGCAAGTCACTGACGAGGCGGAAGCCGCAAAGCTGGGCTGGAGATTGGCGCTTCAAGAGGAACTTGGTATGTGGGTTTGCATCTCTTTCAGGCCCGGTACGCCGGTACCCTTTTGTTGGACTGGCTTAAATGGACACCAAATTGAAAGCCGGCATTTTTCCCCCACAGCTGAAAGCTGCGGGGTCGATAGGCCCCGGAGTGGTTCGGAGCGGCTTCTGGGTGCTGGGGGGTTCTGGGGCTGGGGATACCACCTGCACGGACTGATTGTTGAGGGTACCCTTAGGCTGGTTTTGAATTTTTGGGACGCCCATCGAACTGGGAAGCATCCCCAAGAATCTGGTTGGAAAGGGAACCAACACCCAACGACCTGAGATCTTGCTCCGTGACCCCCTGGCATTGGGTTTGTCAATCGGTTTTCGTCACTTGCGGCCATTCTTACGTGACTGTTTCCAATTGAGCGCCATACCGTCACAACCCTTGTTGGGTTTGTCTCTCTTCAAACCATGCTAAAAAAGGGTACCGAGGCTCACAAAAGCGTGCCCGAATGACTTCGGGTTCAAACCCCACAGTGGAATAAGCCACCCCGGGTTTGTTTGCTTTCGAGGATGAACCCATATATCATTGCGACAGGGAACCCCCAAAAAGCTTTAAAAAACATTCCACCGAATTTTGGTACCCCTATGAGAACCGGTTTCATTTTGGAATACCGTGAAATACCAACCCAACGTATTCAAAAAATGGGAACCCAGGATTAATCTAAAAGGGGGTGTCCCATTTTTGACGGGATCCTTCGCATTTTTGGAAACACTTCCATATTCGTCCGCGAGGTTGATCAATCCATGAGGATTACCGTACACAACAATTCTTGGGCTTAGGGATATCCAGCATGGCCTTTGGTGACTTTGGTGGATGTCGCAGTCCATCTTTGAATTGGGTCCACTATTTGAGATATCACCTGACAGTTTGAACTTGTTGTCTTTTTGGATGTCCTTCATGTTTCGTTTCAGCCAACAAGTTCAACTTTTGGGGATCTAAGTCAGGTCGAGCTGAAAACCCCGAAATCATCCCGACTGTCAGGATGGCCCGGCACCTGGCCAGTATGATCAGGACGCCCGTGCCCTCAGATTGCAATCCAACCCCGACCCCGGGCCCCCGTTTTTGCTGCTTGCTTGCCGGTAACTCCTTTTAGGGGTTGTTCGGTTGGTTGGTTTCGCGGGAAAACCAAGGTGAACGTTTGGGTTTGGCTTTGTTTTGTGAAAGATTTCGAGCTCCCCCCTGTCCCGCCCGCCAAAGCCGAATCCCAGCTTGATCGATCAGCCACAGCCCAGCTGACAGGGTCCCCTCTCAAAGGAAGGGGGTCTTTCAGCCTCCTCCTCCCCCCGGCCCGCTTTCCCCACCCAACCTGGGCGATGGTGTTTTTGTCTGGTCATTCTTTGTTCCGGCGCCGCTTCTTTCCACCGGGCCGTGATGGTTTTTGTTTTCTCCCAGAGGTCTGGGCAAATTTGGACTCGAGGCCTTCAAGTACAGTGGCCAGATTCGGCGAGCGCCCACCTACACCACGCAGGGCAGAGAGGACGGGGATGGGCTGCCTCTTGATGCTGCAATCACCGAGTTCCGGCCTTTTTTTTTGTGGCGGGGGAAAGGGTTCCCCTTCAAACTCAACCAACCAAAAAAGCATGCCCCCTTTTTGTCCCATGGAAGTCCACTGGTTCAATTGGGGTGAGAGTAAAGCCCTTCTACGAGCGACTGCCCGAAAGAAAGGAAGACTACAGTGAAGGCCGGATGGAAGCCGGAAGCATGGCTAACATGCTTAATACGAGGTAGGAACGTACAATGGCATATTGGTGGGTGGAGATCGCAAACACAAGCATTGGAGATGAGCCCAACGGGAGGCTGGAGCAAATTCGGGGGAGTTCCTACCCGACCGTTGCCGCTCAAATATAGGTGTGTCTCTTTCTGAAATACGCCCTGTTGTGTTCTTTTAAACGGTTTGAAAGGCAAACCCTTCAGGACCAACTCTTTCCATTTTGGGGGGCATTTTGGGGCTCTAAACAAAACTTGCCAGGGAATGAGAAATGGAATGACCCTAAACCATCCAACTGGTGGTTTCCTTTAAGGGCTCGTTCCCTACCGATTTTGCACCAGCAAGAAAAAACACGCCCATCATAAACCTTTGGACGGCGCGCCCAGCTGATGGTCGCAGGCATGGCGTGACCCGGTGGCGCCTACCGGGCCGGTGCCTGGGGAGCGTGGCGCCCAACATGGAAGCCAACTGCCAAGGGGAGGCCGTGCGAAACATTGCATCCATGGCGGGTTGCATAAACTTGGCTGGTGCGAAATCGGTAGGGAGTGTGGGAATAAACTCAGGATGGTTTATAGGGGTCATTCTCTCATTCTTTGCTGAGCACCACCAAGAATTTCGGGTTACCTAAAACCTGGTCAACAAAATTCCATAAACACCTGGTTACCTACCTGAGGAAATGCACGCGTGCAAAAAGGTCACTGACCCTTTGGGGCTGTGGACTCAAGTTTCCGAGAGGGACCCTGGAGAAATATCTATGGGCATGCTTTGATTTCCACTTGTTGGTTTCCTTTCATTCAAACCATCCCAAAACGGTTGCATCCTCCTGAAACTTATATGTGTGTGTGTGTGTCTCCAGAGGCTATCGACCAGGAGCTGTGCATGGAAGAGTAAAGCTCCTTGAGGCTTTCAGTGTATGCTTGTTTTTTTGAGGGAGTGTCTTTTTTGAGGATTCTGCCAGGATACTGCTTGTTTGTTTTTGTTGTTGGCTGTAAAAGGGCATAACCACCATTATTTTTTTGAAGGGGTCTAAATCCGAAAGACCGACACACCCAAAAGGGGGCCTACTCAGGCCAATTTTTGGTTGTGAACTTTCATGGGCCCAGTCACTTTTCAGGAGTTCCCCATGAAACTTCATGGCCATAGGGAACACAGTGAAACGGATGAGGGTCCTCATCTTGACACATACCCAATTCAAGGGTATCTTGCAAGTAAGTTTCAGGGTTAAGGAAAAAGGGCTTTCTATTCATTTTGGGCACATCACTCACTGGCACCCCTGGGGTTTGAGCCTACCGTGTGATCAATGGCTGCCTCGTATACCGAGGTACAACGTGGAGAAGGCCACCCGGGTCGGCAAGATCACGCCCAACAAGCCGCTGGGCAAGAAAAGATGGCTCAGGGTGCCAATTTCGTGCAGCACGCAGTTCGGCCGGCGGCGCGTAATTAGTCGGAGCTTGGTGTTTCGGCATTGGGTGTATAGATTTGAAAAAGGATGGTTCCAAGGAGAAGCCTGTCTCAGCTGTTTCCCCCTGATGCCATACATGCTGAGCCCGATGGGTTCCATGACGAGGTGGTCCATGCGCGGGAAGATCGAGCCCTTGGTTCCGCCCAGGGGCCGGACCCTGAGAGAATTGTCCGAATGTACGAAGGAAGTGAGTGCGTCAAAATGGGTGCCCCCAGTGTTCCTTTGGTTTCCCATTAAAGCCACCAAAAAAGGGTACCCTCAAAAAAGAAGATTGACTTAGTGTCCATATACCAAGGTGCCAGTTTGGGTACCATTCTCTGAGCAGCCAAATGGGTATCTTTGTTTGAGTCCTGAGGGTACCCTTAGGTCGGTTCAAGAAACAGAAAGCCGCCAAATTCGGGGCCTCTCTTGTTTTGTAGACACACACACACAAAACAAAAACAGGTTTGGGACCCAACGTGACAGGACGTTAAGGAAAAAAGGCCTTCCCGATCCGTGAAAACTTGGGGATGATAATATGGGCTGCGTGTAAAATGGGTGGCTTTCAGTTCGTTGTCTCTTTCAACCGGGTCAAGGTCTCCTCCCGATTCATTTGGTGTGAAGACACGGCCGAAGGGTCGCAAATCAAGATTTATGCCCCATTTGACGTGCCAAGTCAGCGTTAGCGAGAGCCTTTGCTTGAGGAGAACGGGCTGTGGTAAAGCCTGGACCGGGTCACTACAAACTGCCCAACCTCAGCGACAAGCAGCTCGGCAGAAAATCCATTCAAGGTTGACCTGGGTTCTTCCTTGTCATCAAAACCGATTACTTGCCGGTGCAGCAGGGAATGAGGGAATGCCGACCCCTATAAACCATTCCTTGTGGTTTCCTGTACAAAAACCCCTGGGTTCATTCCCTCATTCCCTACCGATTTCGCACCAGCAAGAAAAAACACGCCCATCATAAACCTTTGGATGGCGCGCCCAGCTGATGGTCGCAGGCCTGGCGTGACCCGGTGGGGGGGCGTCTATACCTAAGACAGGGGGGGTTCGTGCGCAGAACGTCGCAACAGGATCGCCTACCCGGACAAGGAGAAGCCACCGAACTGGAAGTTCGCGCAGGATCCCAGGGGCCTCTTGGATACCTGAGCTTAGGACTGCCGACTGCCGCTTCAAGCAGTTCTTTGGAGTTCAACCCCCGGTTCTTGGTGAGAGGCCCTACCTACGCAAAGCCCTGCTAATTATAGTTGAGTAAGTCTCGAACTTGCAGGGAAGTGATTGTGGCAATTGCTTTGCTTTGGTGCCTCTTACCAACCTGTCCAACTCGAGCTCTCACTTCGACCTAGCACCGCATTCAATGTTCCCTAGGTTCTTTTCCGGTTTGGGGCGTTTTAAACAAGTCACCTTCTGGGCCACGCTGAACACTGAGTTGCTCTTTGGTGTTGGCCTCAAGGGGAACCAAAAGGATACCGGCCGTTTTAGGGGACCCCTATTCTGAGAACTACCCAAATGGGACATCTAGGGAAGCCTTTCACGCCGTTTCACGCCGTTCGATTGTGCTGTAGCGGGCATTGCCAAGCAATGCCCGGCACAGATGCCGAAGGACCCGACAGAATGGCAAAGGCTTTGCTGCCCTTTTGTTTCAAATTGCTAACATGAATGCGTTTGATTTTCCCTGTTGGCTTTGAAGAGAATCGATTTCACTACTGGAATATGTTTTCTTTTTTTTTCCAGGGGACATCAGCAAATGGAGGCTTGCATTTGAAGGTTGTGTCTCTTCCCTTGGCCCCCTCCGAAATGCTGGTTTTCCCTTTGGTGTCCCTTCAACACCCCCAAATTGCCAAAAGAACAAGTACCCCGAAACAGAAAGACCAAGGTCATTGTAGACATCTGACTCAAGGTGCAGCAAAACTTTGGTTTGCTATCGACGGTTTTGAGCCGGGCCAGTGCCCTTTCCAGGTCCCAAGTCGCAAAAGTTATGACGCGTGGACCTTTGGGGTGGAATTCATTTGGCATCGATTTTGGTTCAACACCGTTTGGTTTTGACTCAGGTTGTCCTCAAAGCCTTGGAATGAGCAGTGCTTCGTTAAGCACTTGTTCGCCTCGGAAGACATGAGTTTTGAGGGTTCTGGAGAAAAACACCTAAAAGGCTTGTTCTCACTGCCCGAGTTCCCGGACTTTAGTCACTTTTTGGGTTGGACCATTTTAGCGGCAAACAACAAGTTTGGTTACTTTTTAGAGCATCAACTAAGGAAGTTAGTGTTTCATTGTTGGGCTTCCTTTGATTTGGACGTAAACCGATAGAGATGCAGTTGATCTTTCAGCATCGACCCCCTTAAGCGGCTTTCAACATAGGGATTCTGGAGGATTGGCCAAGCGTTCTAAGGATGTTTTTACACCCTGGGATGAAAGGGAATTTGTTTATCTGGGAATAGGCTGTGACTCCTGAGAGGGCGTAGTCCCAGGGTAGAACCCTTACCTACACCACGGAAGATGCTAGGCTCGCTAGGCTCGCTTATCTGCACTTGGGGCTCGAAGCAACGAAAGAGCCAATCAGTACCCAAGACGGAACTGAACCATTCTAAGTGAGCATTCCACAGATCTGGGCAAATCACATTTAGCGACCTCACACAGGATTTGCGACCTCACGAGCGTTGGTCCATTTCTTATGTCAGCTTGGTATTATTTTTCACTGGCTAATTACATTTGTCGTGTTTTGGACACATGGTTGAATGACAGACGCTTACAAGTGCGGTTGGATTGTGGTGCAACTTGCCCAGCAGGCCCTACCTTTCCCTTGGCCTAGTAGTGGATGTGGCGGTTGCGTTTCTCAAAAATTTCGGGACCCCACGATGGTGGCAACGGTTTCCCCAAAAGAGAACCATTTAAAGCCATCCAAACGCGAAGTATAGGCACCCCCTGGTTCATCGGACACATGACGAGAGCGTGGCGGCCAGAGTGCCATGACCACCAAGCATGGGGCAGCTGGCAGGAGAAGCGGAGAGGGGGGCATGGAGAGGGGTCTGAACAAAATTCCCTAAGGATCAATCAAAGCATGGTTGAGGTCATCATCTTAGATCGTTAGATGGAACGGAAACAGCCGTAAGATCCCTATGAACAATCAACATAATGACCCCAGCACTAGCTGGAGGGTTGAGAGTTGCAAATCAATGCAATGAGCAGATGTCTCTCGGAGCAATTCGGAGCACAACATGTTGCATATATCACGCGACATAAGCTTGATCAATGCTTGCGCTATTTCATCGGGGAACACGCGCTTGGCGATAGCGGCCAACTGCTCAAGCAGCGGATGACAAGGGATGCGATGTCGCCAAGCAAGTCAGCGCGACGACACTTTTCACTTGATCAGGCATTCCCATGCGTTTCCTGCGTGCAGCATGTTTCGACCACGAGTCCGGTCGAGAGAGAGAGAGCGAGAAAGAAAAATCAATCAAAAACAAGCGACTCGCAGAGGTGCTTCGGACACATCATGAGTCGCAATCAAAGCCCGAGCAAGTCTTCAGGCTAGAAAGGGACCAGCCAGGTCTGGCCTCCTCTCTTGATTCTGGCCACATTTTGGGTCCACTTTAGTACCGATCGGTCTCACATGATGTCTCTGACGCCATGGCTCTTGCTTTTCCTGCGTCTGGCTGCTGCGGAGCACATCATCCCGCTGCAAAGGTGCGCTCCTGCCAAAGTGGAGGTTGAGGGTGGGGCTGGAGAGATCGTGGCTGTTGTTGATACCATTTTGGGCGGGTTTGGAGGGGGACTAAAGGCAACACAGCCACATGATGATGACTTGACTCTTGGAGCCTGCGCACTTCAACATTACCTTCGACGTGTTTGCTGCCTTCCCTGGTCAGGAGGGACATTGGAGCATTCATGTCGCTACAGACTTGCCGCGTTTCATACGCCGCAGCTGCGCTCTTGATTCCTGGAGTCTGAGGTTGGAAGATCAGAGTTGCACTTTGGTTAATTAGTGTTTTTTTGGGGTCCCCCGTTTTGAAACACATCCATCCTCTTGGGCACGGATGCCAACCGTCCCCGTGAGATGTGGGGATTTTGAACAGCCCAGTTAGCAGAATGGCTGTGGGTTTCGAATACTGTCAGGAGGACATTACCCTCCGTCCAACAATCATGGAAGCTGACGATCGGAGGGCTTTGGAGGACGATCTTCCTTTTGGTGGAACCCCCGATTTTCCACTTCCATGATTCTTGGAGGGTAGGTATTGTGAAAGTCAAATTTACCCTCCCACCAATTAACATGGAACCCTTAAGGGGGGTCCCTTTATAAGGAACATGATCTTCCAGGCCTGCCCCGGTTGGTGTTCAAGGGAATATCACTACCGGACATCTTTTGTTCCAGGGGACTTGAGAAATGGAAGTGGGGAGGGGAAGGAAGCTATCACCTACCCCTAAGTGCTCCTTGGCTCCATCGCTCCCAGACTCATGGAGTCTCAAGGAAGCCAAACGGAAGCGAGCCAGTTTTGCTGGTTCCCATCTAGACGCTGCTGATTCATGCGGGCTCACTGAGAAGATGTATTTGTAGCCCTGGAGTTCCATTTATAGTTCCATTTTGCATTTATAGTTCCATTCTACCTTTTTCTAGGGTTGAAGACTAGATGATGAAATTGGGTCTAGTGGACCCCCGCCCCCCTCCCTCCTGTTGTGGGGGCATGATGTGTGTGTTGAGTCGAGTTTCTTTTGCTTCTATGGGCAGGCACAGAGCCAACCTCAATGAAATAGTGGCCGACTTTCCGCGAGCTCGCGCGCCGCCCGGCGGTCAAATTCTTTGTTGGATTCGGATGCGTCCGAAAAGCTGGGACCGCCCCCCTCTTTTGGATGTTGCTCTACAAGAAACGGATCTGAATACGTTCGAATAGCTGGTTTGCTCCAAGACTCACACATTTGAAGTTCTCGGTCTTGCCGGATTGCCGGTTGATATTTTTGGGTGCTTCATGTTACTCCAATGGTGGTTGCACAATGTTGTTTGGCACGTATTGACTATGTCATTGATAGCGAAGCGCAGTTCCAAATACACAGCAGCTTTGTATCCTACCACTTCATGGCGTGACACACGCACGGCGAAATCTTGTTTTCAGGGAGCAACTGATTCGGAACCATCTTATCGAAGCCACTTGGCGAAAACAGTTGGCTGCTTCAAGCAATCAGCCGTTGCAGGTGTAGCAACTTGAGCCACAGTCAACCATCTGGGTAGTTGGATCGCAGTAGGGGGACAGTTCACTTGTCATACACAGGTGTATCCACCTCCCTGCTATTTTTTTAAGAATAGGTTTTGGGTTGGCTGACTCATATCATGGATGTTTCTTGAACAAGTGGGGAGCCCCCGTTTTTTTGGGGGGTTGACAAGCGTTCTGATTACTGGCTTTCCCAGAATGTCGCATCTTTGGGTTGGTGTTCGCTTCCTTTCAAGGGTTGGCACCTGGGCCCCTCGCTGCCTGAACCTCCAAACGGGACACCTCCCCAGAGTATATCAATGGGTTCCGATTCGGCAACCAGGTTTGGTCCACCCCCCACCCCCCTCTCCCCCCTTCCCCCCCAAAAAAGAAGTTGCTCAAACCACAGCAACGGACAGTCCCACGAGTACGTGCGGATTTTTGCCGTCGTCCTCGTTCTTCGCCTTGGCTTGGGTTTGCAGGGTGATTGTGACGCTGGTGGCTCCTTTTTGAAGGAAGTCTAAACCTGGAAGGTGGCTTCAACAAAACTTCAAACGCAGAATGTTAGACTAATAGGTGGTTCAAACATGTTCAAACAATTGGCAATGCATTGCCCAACTTAGCCACCTGAGGCGTGAGCCGGAGCCAGTGACCTTAGTGGCCACTGAGGGTGTGCGGAACCTGGAGCACCTTGACACAGGGTGTGTTCTTTTGAGGCTACGCTTACCTGGTTTGGGGTTGTTTTAAGGGAAAGGGTTCCCTGACTGTTGACCCCTACCCGATTTTGTTGGTAGTATTTAGGCCAAGGGATTCCACCGAAAAAGGGGGACAACGAGCGACTGAGCCAATAGAATGGCCAGTAAATCCTTTCTTCCGGCTTCCTGAATAGCAAATTGCCCCGATAGTGGTTGCCACATTTGTTTCCCGGAGTGAAAGAGGGGGACCTTCCCCAGTGAGCATCCAAAACGCTTTTGCAGCATCAAACTTAAAGCCCTCCCAGAGCCCTTCAACTTGCGTCGACATGTTCGGCCGGCCCGGTCGGATCTGCCTAAGCTGGCCCGTGTGGCACGAAAGCTGTCTAGCAAACTTAACATGGGAGCCCAAACAAGGGGTCCCACAAAAAAGAGAGAAAAACACGGAAAAAGAAAGCTCTAGACATGTTGCTTTTTGGGGTGCCATGTTAATCCGCAGGGGTTGTGTTCTGTTAAGCTGGAACGTTGTCATGTAAGATGCCCCAACAGCTCACCATCTTATCTAGCAGCTTTCTAATCGGACAGCCAAAGGGGGAGTTGGCTCCCATTGGCTTCGCAATTGGTGCACCAACCCATTTTTTGATTCCCTTTAAACCAACCCCAAAAAGCCTGCCACAAAGAAAACAACCCCAGATTCAGCCCCACGACCTCGAGTTTGGACAACTCCCCAACCCCTCCAAGAAAACAAAAAGCAAAGTTACAACCCCCAAAAAGGTCCAAAAAAGAGCCCCCACAACAGGCAAACAACTTTTTAGTTTTTGCCGTTTCGGTTTCTTTCTTTGCCTGCAACATGTTTGCAAGCCCGGCTAAGGAACCTGCAGTACACTGCCGCAATCCTTTTGGGATCGCCACCTCAGGAAGCTCGAGTGGTCTTTGATACAGGCCGGCAGGACCCCCACTTGGGTCTCCAAACTTCCTCATGAGAGACGCAAATTTTGTTTGGAGGCTCGGGCTGGTTAGAAATCATGAACCTGGACCTGGACGGCCATGTGAGCGTCGTGCTAAAGCCCATGTATTCGGTTTAGTGTTCCGAATTTCCAGGCTTTTCATGGCATGAACTTCCCACTGTGTGCGCGGAAGAGACGCGGAAGGGCGGCGGACGAGATGCGGAAGGGCCAGTAACCGAAAGCATTGATCGAAAACCAGTGACAACTTGTGTGTAGATTTACAATGGGCGTGAGGGGCGTGGAAGGTTTGCACAAGGGCGGCGGGAGGGCACAACCCCCATGTGAAAGCGAGTTTCCTTCTGCAGTGCCTTGCAAACGCTCCAAACTTTTGCAATCATACTTTAAGTGGCAAGGTGTCGTGTCAGGACTGCGAAAAGTTTAAACGGGTAATACGTGCCTGTCTGTTTTCAATCACAAAACCAGGGGGCATTCTCATGTTCCAATGTCAATACGGGTAACAGCATATGTTGACAGCAGCTCATATGTGGGTGGTGGACAGAATGGTGGCACCTTCTTCGTCAACCCTCCATGCAATGTTGATCATGACCCAGATTGATCACTTTGCACATGAAATTCGCCCGGTGTGCCCCTCAAGTGAAGAACAGGGGGTTCATCAGCAAAGGTTGGTCCCCCCCCTTCTTCGGAAAGAAGGATCCCTAAATGACTGGAGCATCTAACAGGGTTGCGGAAAATGGATACGCACCCTGTGATACCACAGGTTGATTCGCATCGAACCATGACCTCGTTTCAAATTCACGAGGGTTCCCACTAACTTGGCATCAGGCCGCCTTCAGCCCTCGCCCTCAGTGCGAAGCTTGCTCTAATGGGATTTGGTCGAACGCCGCTCTACACAGCAAACCCCACAATGGATGTTTGTGCTTTGCCTTACTTAGCTACCCTTGTCTACCGGAAGTTGGTTTTATGGCCGATTATGGCCGTCTCTCTTTGACCAGGTGTCCGTTTCCCAACCCCATAGGTGGTGTCACTTGTGGTTTCCCTGTGCCCTTTCGGGCTTCTTTTTCAACCAACCCCTCAAAATTGTGCAACAAACGAGGGGTTCCAACTTTAAAAACACACACACACACACCCATAGGCGGTGCCCCTATACGATCAAAGGGGCGACCGGGCTGTCGGTTTGGTCGAAGGCTCTTCGGACCTCTGGGTGGCTGCTCCATACTTTAGCGTGCGGACGTCCTTCACGTGGCAGCCCACAAATTTCCAGGCGAGTCGGCCGATTCGGCGAATCCGACAAACCGCACCCACAAATCAGACCAATAGCCCGTGAGGACCACTCCTCGCTGGAACTTTTATGGGTACGGAGGTTGGGTCAACTGAATGCCAGGTGACTCTGACTTATGGCATCGGCGTGGTCACCGGCAGTTACGGCGTGGATCGCGCCTGCTTGGACTCATCTCCCAAGCCACTGTGCGTGGACAGGCGCGGCGCGGGGCGAGCTTTGCGCGCTTGCGAGATGGGTTTTCATTTGGGTGTACAGAAAATATAGAGAGCCCAGCCGTCCTCTTGGGTTTTTAGTTTTCTAGGGTGTAGTGGGTTTCCAACCCACGGAAAGATAAACTTTTTGCAGGGGATCTGAGGACAGCCCAGTATCTGTGTAACTGTGGAAACCATATTAACGGTGAGGTATCTCGATTGAGTTGAACGGGAACCCAGTTGGTTGCCCGCTCCACGATCATAGCGGAAGAAGCCTGAGCCGATGGTGGACTTCCGAAGCCATTTGTTTACTTCATTTTTGTCGGACCGGGGCTAAGCAAGAACCCCTGCTTGAGTTTGATGGGTCAACCCATTTTGCAGGGAATTATCTGATCACTCTCGTGGGGAACGCCTGCCTATGAATCCGCAAGGGTCTACTTCAGACCGTTCCCGACACTTGTGTTGTTTTCCGACATCATAACGTCAGAAGTCAGGTAAGCCTTAGTTGGTGGTTTGGATTGGTGGTTGAGTTGAACGGGCCCCTGGCTTTTGTAGAGGGTTCCCTGCACTTCACCACCAAACGCTCCAAACCACGAAGCTGAAGAAGGGGTTCCCATTGTCCCCTTGGATAGAGCTATCATCTTTGGGGAAGTTCGACCTCGGCAAACTGGTGGGCTGGAGCCCGTTTCGTCTGGCCACTTGACCGCACCCGCATGTCAAAGCCAGGTCCTGAGTGCCCCCAAGCTTTGTATAGACCTCCCCCAAATCTGACAGCAGTTTCCTTGATGGTTTCCTTGAAACCAACCACACGGGGTCATGTTCGCCTGACTAACTGACCACCCCTCCCTCCCCCTCCCTCCACCCCTCCCTCCCCCCCTCCCCCCAATTTTTCAGGATTAAACTCCTGTCACAGACCCAAAGCGGGCCCTGGCCATGGTCCCCCCGATTTTTCGATTGCGCGAGGCAGCCGTTGCTTTTGGCCACCCAAGTGAAGCAGATCGATCTGCAGGCCATGAACGGCATACTTGGCCTCGGCTTTGTGGGGATCTCCCACGTACAAAACACCTTCCTGAGGAACCTCAACAGGACGGACTCAGATTCGGATTCGGGGACTGGGAACCTTAAGCCACAACAGTTCACTGTTCCTCCTGCGGGTTGGGGCTCGCTCGAATTTGGGGATTCGGGAACCTTGAAGCCTTAAACAATCCCCTTGAGCCTTAATTACGCGGAGGGGGGGGGGTCCGGTCGCTTTCCTTGGAGAAAGCTCTTCCACGGGCCACGGTCTCCACTATTCTTAGGCTTGGCTAAAGATGAAACAGAATCAGCACATTTCAGTTTTGGTGTATCCTGTTGGGCAAAGAGCCGTATGGCCCCTGGTCAAAAAAGGGTTTGCCTACGGGCCCCTGAGTTGAATGATTTAGAGAAATGGATTTTGGAGCTCCTTTGGTCGGGAAGCCCCTTCATGACGTCTTGGCTTCAATGAAATCCACGGTGTCCCAGAAGCTCCAGCCACAAACCCTTATTTCTTATACTCTTTTGTGCGTAAAGGCCCTTAATCCAAGATTGTCCCACAAGCTCCACAACCCCTAGCTTCTCGTTTTTTGTTTATTCTTTTTTTCTCCTGCGTAAAGACCCTTCGGGGCGCTAGACATTTGACGCCCGCCAAGACTCCTTTGAGGAGCTTCGAGGACCTGAGCTTCGGCTTCGCCCTGCGCACGGATCCCGAGCAGTCCTTCGTGGTCTTCGGGGATTACCCGGAGGTCGGCGCCTGAAACGGAAACGCGGCGAACGTGCGAACGCGCTTAAAACGCGAGGTGCAAGCCCACAAGGTACACAAAAAGGGGGCCAAGAGGTAGATGGCACCAAAGGAAAGCAAGTTGTTCTCATGGGTGAAGGGGAGGTACACGACAGTTTCGGCCAACAGGTAGATGCCGCAGAAATCAAGTTGCTCTTTGGATGAGTGAGGATGACTAAACCCAACAGGGAGTCGCCCTTGTTCTGTTTCTAAATCAGAAAAAAAAAGAAACATGCCCTTGGGAAAAAGAAGTGTGCTGAATGGCTTTGGGGTGAAATGCCGGGCGTTTGGGTTTGTCTCAAACAAGTTGTTTTGAGAGGGTTTCGTTTTGAAGCCAACTGAGAAGGGGGGGCTCGCCTGGCTTCTTTGTGTGGGTTCGGCTTCAAAATGGGTATCTTTTTGTTGAACCCTTTGATCGATATGCACGAGGTTTTATGTCCACCAGCCACGTTGGAGGGTAACCCCCAGATGGCAGCGGTTTCCCTTGGCCGTTCAACCAAACGGGGACAAGATGGGACAAGATGGGACAAGCCCCAAAGCAGACCCTTAAGGAACAATCGACACGCTTCGCACCGGCGAGTTGGCGCAAGGATTTTGTCCACATGGTCCAAGGGACCATTTCTTTTGACGGCGTGACTTGTTGAACTGAAGGGAAAAAAGGAAACTTCAAGCACCAATCAAGCCCATGTGAGGTAAGGCCGAATTGTGAGCTTAAAAACCAACTCCGCTGCTTGTTGCCCTTCAAGTACTTTTCTTTAGGCCCCAAATGCTGGTGTTCCTTTTGGTTTCCTTTTAAAACCACAAAAAGTGGTTGGAGACCCTGAAAACTGGCACATCAAACCCCAAAGAGTCCCCAATTCAAAATTGGCCCAGGTGATGCGCAAGGGCTACGAGACGACGGGTATTTCAGCAGACTCCGTGGTGCATGCGGACGTGCTTGACCTCTTCAGGACTCGTGAAAGCTTTTGAGCTCGACAGAAAGTGTAGACGAGAGTTGGTCTTCGGCTTTTTGAGCCACAGAACCTTCTCGGTGTTTATTGTTTGGGGGAACTCTCTTTGGGGGTGGTTCTATACTGCTGTACAAAGAAATCAAAAGGACCCAAGACCCCAGTATCATTGTGGTCGCCGAAAGCCTTGATCTTGAATTGGTCT